AATAGTGCGTTGTTTATACATTCAATATAAATAATATAATTATTCCTGCCAGAAAGTCAAATCTTCACAAATATTAAACTGAAAGAAAAGATTTTATGAGATGGTTAGGAAAGTTCACAATATCTTATAGTATATTTTGTGAAGAGAAAACATTCAAGATGGGTGCCAACTCCTTACTTTAAAGTCGGCCACGCTCTTCGCTATCCTACGAACAAGTAATATGCGTTACGACAGTGACTGTACACAAAATTAATCTCATGAACCGCTTCTCTGTGTAGTTTTTACACGGCCGGCGGTGTAAAGGTTAGTGTGCGAGCGAAATTTATCGCCGTTATGCATGGAAGTGGCTCGCGAAAAACTGCAAGTGTTCATGGAATGAGTATCGGATTCAGATTTTTTATTATTTTTTCAAGAGTAAAATATACAGGAAAGCTGTACACGGTAAGTCTGCCCACTTATCTTGGCCATTTTCAGTACCAGGGTCGCATATATCAGGCCTTTAGTTATGCGCGAATGTTATACATATTAAATGAAACTAGTTTACGACCGTACCATCTGCCCCGTGACCATGAACGCTGGAAAGGCTTCGAAACGTCGGGAGTTCAAATCAAAATAAAAAACGCAATAAAATCCGTAAACTAGTTTCATTTAATAGATTAACAGTATACAAAAGTTAAGTTAAGAGAAAATATTTTTACTAAAATAATTATTTTGGAGCAGCCCCGATAAGAACCAATGGCGTTATACAGCGTGTCGTTACCACCGCGACAATAAATGAACACACATATAGAGGATAACTTTTTAAAATTGTATTAAACATTTACATTCTTTAAACAACAATATTTACCGAGTTATTAAATTTTTAAAACAAACAATTTTAGAACAGCCTTACGTATAAAACTGTAACGTAAAGTTCATTTGTAAAGGTCACAAAGCATATGAATGGGTTGAATGAATTTAAAAGAGACAAAACATACTGTTAGAAGGAGAGGCTTGTAATGCAACGCTATGGCGCGAGTTGTATAGGATGTTACAAATTTTGTTTCTTTTTTACTTAATTAGTTTATTTGAAAAATATTTTTTTTTAATTATGGATTTTGTTTAACGTTAATATTTTTTTATGATTATTGGCAAGTAGCGTTAGACGTGTGTTCATATATTGTCGCGATGGTAACGACACGCTGTATACTCGTTCTTTTTTTTAAGACTCACTTTAGTTTTTTTATGGTAATGAGGCAAATGAGCAAGTGGGTCACCTGGTGGTAAGTGTTAACCGCCATCCATGGCCACTCGCAACACCAGAGGAGTCACAAATAGTCGGCCTTTTTGATTTGTGTCAACACTGCTTCGACTAAAGGCAGAAGTATTAGTTCTTTCAATTCCCGATTTTCGGTGAGACCAGGGTTTGGGACCTGATGAGGACCTGATGAGCCCACCGAACCATTCTCAGAGCCTGCTGCGTGCCCAATGCAATAGCTAATGTTTCACCTGCTGGTGAGCGATGATATGGTAACAATCCTTTAGTGTCAGTTTCAAGCTTCATGCCTATGATTTTACTATAATGCCTGTGGAATCTTTTAAATATTAAGTCCTGGATTACTCGCTTATGAGACGAAGTGTAATAGTTAAAATACCTTTCATTCAGGCTAGTCTTCTATAATTCCAGTCAAGTTCTGCCCATTGGAGCAGTCACTAAATGTGAAAATTCGAAATTGAACAACCTTCTCCGACGAAATACAATGTAACAAACCTTTTCGATACTCTATAATAATTCGATACGCTGCCCAATCAAATGGTATATTATATTACAAATTTTAACATCAACTTGTAAACTACACAATAGCGGCCGCCGGTGCAAGGCCGTCTGCGGGCGGTGCTATCTCCGTAGATCCAATTTGAGATAACACCCGTTGATGGATGGCAACCGAGCGCGCGCCACCAGCGGGCCTTATTAAGAGCTCTTCTTGTATGTAAATCCGTGCTCAGCTTGGTAAGATGGAAGACGAACATCTTATTATATACAAGACTGGTGCATTATATATTAAACTAATCTTGTTTCACTTTTTCCTACATCGTTTTCATAGTCTTAAAGTGAACGTTTACCTCTGATAAATTCTTCAAGCTGAATTTTAAGAATATTTTATACTAGCTTTTCGAGCGCGGCTTCGCTCGCGTTGAAGCCTTTAAATAAATATCTTTCTTTAATTTTCAACCCTTTACAACACTTTTTTCCGATTAAAAAATAGCCTATGTCCTTTCTCAGACTCTAGACTGTGTACCAAATTTCATTTAAATCAGTTCTGTAGTTTTGCCGCATACTTACACTACTCAATCATAAACATTTGGTTCGTCAGAAATTACTTGACGTCTGGTGGCCCTGGGATCTTGGACTATTTATTATAATAAGTCAACGTTGGCAGGATAAAAGTTCCTTACTGACGGAATGGTTCTAGAATGGATGGTCAAAGGTGACAGCCCGAGATGATAGTGAGCTGAAGTCAAATAACGCTACAGCCTGTCCCTTGTATTTTTGTATTTTGTGTGGAAGTTGCTGGTGGCTGTTCGAACGCCACTGCGATCTAGAATATCTATTGTAGTTTTCCCTTCGAAAACTTTATCCCCTTACTGTGGAATCACATTATCCTGTGTTAAGAACGTTTTACATATAAAAACTTCACGTGGACAAACACCCAGATCCTAAAAAAATCATCTGCGGGTAACACAAATAGTCGTCTCATGTGGGAATCGAGCCCACCGCCCCCGGTGCAGAAAAAATACCTCAACAACTGAACCACGGAGTCATCTAGTGTTATCCCCTAACCATAAATGCTGCAAAGTATCCGAAAAGTCGCTATTTAATTTTAATTTTAACGTGATGAAATTCTCAAAAATGTTTGCATTTGATTCAAAAGCGTACGCCGTAAAAGTAACACATTAATAACTTTTCTGTTTTGTAAGTAAACGTAAAATCTAAGCAGTTTTCTATTTATAAATCATCGTGGTTATTATCATTTTCGATAAGCTAACGCTGAACAATTGCGATAAGCTAACGCTGAACAATTGCTGCGTGAATTATACCATGTATTCACCGCAATTCACCGATTAAACTAAAGGGTCTGCAAAAGCGAACAGCTTTGGTAGGGCCACGCAATATTGTTCGCTAATAAACGAAGTTGCCATCCGAGTAAGTACCACGATCTCACCGAGGGTCGGCGTGGGGGGAAGTGCTTCCCGGGTGAGGTATCCCGGGTCCCACTTTATTAAAAGGTGGCAACTGATCAACTCTCTTCGGGTGCTGCAAATGTCAATGGGCGGTTATCACTTAACAGCTGGTGAACAGTCGGCTCGTTTGCAATCTTCTCACATATAAAAGAAATTACAAATCTTCTTCAAGAGCCGTGATAGCTCAGTGTCCGGGCGCTCGCCTTTAATTCAATATACTCGAGCAACCTGAGTTCGATCCCCGGTGCCGGCACCAATGAAGTTTTTAACTTTAAGTGCTGAATTATCACGTGCTCCGCGGTGAAGGAAAACATCGTGAGGAAACCTGCATATTTTCGAAATAATAACAAAAAAAAAATGTTTCGAAGATATGTGAAGTCCGTCAATCCGCAGTGGGGCCGCGTGGTGGACTTTGCCCTGATACCCTCTGTATAGAGGAGGCCTTTGCCCAGTAGTGAGACATGTATAGGCTGTTACTTTACTTTACTTTTACAAATCTTCAAACCATCAAGTGATGTTCCAAGTTTATATTTCTATTTTGTTTTGTTACCATTGCACGAAAACACAGGGTTCCGTCTTAAATTTTATATTGCCAAAGTGTAACGAAAGGTTCTCGAGTGGTAGCCTTGTATTGGTACAGGACGACCCCCCACTAAGTAGACGACAGCCCCACTAAGTAGGGGGCAGCCTTATTTCAGCAGAAGACTCAAAAAGGCTAAAATGACGATGATGATGAAAGTGTATTTTCTGCTATTGAGATAGAGTACCCTATAAGTAATACGATTCTTTTACAAACAAACGTGAGGGTTGATGTTGTTTTTTCATAGAAGTTTTGGAATTTCACTTGTAGCGCTGTGGTAAATAAATAACGTACAATCTTATCTCATATTTGAAAAAAAAAAGTCAATAATTTATTAACATAAATCTAATTTAAAATACTTAATTAATAGGAATTACAACATTTTTACACTTGGCTCTTTCGTTGTTTAATTTTGGGAAGACTACATTTAATATTTTGATATATCTATTTAATACCCAATATTCACGTACTCATACAATAGTCAAACTTTAGTAATGAAAAAATTATTTTCGAGAAATATTTTTTTTTTAATTTTATTTGTTTGATACTTTCAAAGTATCGTATTAAATAGTACATGGTACTATATGTATACAAGAAGTACATGGTTAAATTAAGTGATTTAACATGGATAATATAACCAGTAAAAAAATGAGACATAATACATTAGGATCCAAATTCAAGCCGGGTGGCACCCCGCAAAATAATTAAGAGAATGTCGCAATTATTCAAAATTAATGTAATAGTTATAATTTATTAAATAACTGAAACATTACATAAGAAGGGCTAACATTCAGTTTATCGGCAAGTCTTCGTGACTAATAAATTATACATTATCTTACTAATACACTTTCTTTGGATCAATTTAAATAAACACAATGTTTTGTGTCATTGAATTTAACATTGATTAGACAACTTAACAAAGTATATATTTCGAAATTTATTTAATTTCATTTTTGACGTTTCCTCATTACTTTCATATTTCTATACAAACATTTATAAAATATGTAACACATGAAGTAATCTTATATACCAACAAAGGCGTGTAAAATTGAACAACACAATAAACTCACGAATAGTCATAAAATTATATGGATCAGATAATGCGCAACTGTAGCAGGGCGTGTTATCAATACCCACGATAGTTCTCATAAGAAGTGAACTGTAATACATCACAAGCGAAATGTCGACGTGGCTTCTAGTCGGGCGCTGGATGGGATCTGAATAGGCCCCCAATCACGTCCGTGTCGCCGCTACGCAGGGCTATGGTTAGAGCCAGACCTATGACGGCCCCCGAAAGGACCCCCACGGCGATTGCCATGATCCTCTGCGCAAAGGACCATTTTGAACAGGTCCAGTACTGCTCGCGTATCACACTGCAAAAGATAAAGAATACGCACTCATTAACATATTCAACTTGAAGTCCGCCATCTGAAAACAATCTGATTTACAGCCTGTTGTCAAACTTAGCATAAAGCACAAGCACAAAAATTGAGCTTTTAACAACCTTAAATTATTTTAAGTCAAGTTTTTTATTCATAATGGGCCTTTCGAGTTAATGTGTACATTGAAATCTGCCACCGCTTTTAGTTTTAAATCATGTGATACAATAAATTTTATATTTTATTATTAATAGACAACATTAAATCCTAAGTGAATATGATTCTAGTTATTTAACATTTAACGAGACGTTTAAATGAAGCGAAGAATATCCTCAATACGGTAAAAAATCTAAATAATTTTCTTCGTTTTGTCAGAAGACAGCCACGTGCAAGGTATGATTAGAAGCATATATAGAACAAAAACATACAAAACGACCTGCTGTTTTCTAAATACGATAACTTTGGATGAGTTGTTGATACATAAATAATCTGTAATAAATAATTCTTCACCCATGCAACATATAAATATAGCCTTGTATGCAAACTGAAGATATCCGTTTCTAATCTACTCTTATAAATATCTTATCTTAGTATAAAGATAAACAACATATGCAATCAGAAGAATCAATGACCTATGGACTAACCGTATTATGATTTTTAAATACTGCATTGTTTTTATACGATATATCTTCGAAAAATTAAAATAAAAAATTGATATGAAGAAAATACTTATTGTATATTTGCCACAATAAGATTTTGCTTATATTAGAATTTAAAAAAAAATATAACTCATGGCCAGCTGTGCTGCGATATTCGCACAGAGCTGATTATGTCAACAGTCAGTTGACAATACTTTTTCACTAGCCAAAAAGTTCTAGAAAGATTTGGATAATATTTACCCATATACAAAACATTGGTTTTGAACACTTTGCGTCTATGCATATCGATATACTGAATTTTTATCGCGCTCTACTCCGGTTCACTTGTAGCTTTATCAATAGATAGCGATAAATTTGGCTGACGTTGTCAGTTGTTTCTGCTATCAAAAATCGACGACCAAATGAGGCAGCTACGTAGTCAACATTTCTCCAGTTTAAAATTCACAAATATTCGCTCCAAATCTAGGGGTTTGCCAATGTGCATTCTTATGCGTATAATCTCCATACACACATAACACAGGACTCTTTTCTATAGCCGTTTCTTTAACAAAAAGTATTCTAGCACACTCTTATCTCTTCAAAATATCTCATTTGCGGGAGGGGGGGGGGGGATTTCAAAAGTACACACTCACGCACAAAAACTGCATCTAGAGTTTAAGTAATTATTTATGGAGACAGAGTTTTTGACTCACAACTACTGTGCTGGTCGAAAATTACGCGCAATACTCGTTGTTCAATCACTACTAATTTGCTATCCTTGCAGTAGTTGTCTGAGGGTCGACATGTGAGTATAAATTTGGAAATGCCTTTTCATTTTGCTGTGTTGTATGTATTCATGTCCCACTGCTGAGCAAAGGCCTCTTCTATACAGAGGATATCAGGGCATAGTCCACCTCGCGGCTTCACTGCGGATTGGTGGACTTCACATATCTTCGAAAATATTTTTTTTTGTTATTATTTCTAAAATATGCTGGTTTCCTCACGATGTTTTCCTTCACCGCGGAGCACGTGATAAGTCAGCACTTAAAGTTAAAAACTTCATTGGTGCCGGCACCGGGGATCGAACTCAGGTTGCTCGAGTATATTGAATTAAAGGCGAGCGCCCGGACATTGAGCTATCACGGCTCTAAAATACAGTGATTAAGCTCTTATTTGCACTACTTAAAACCCAATCCAGCTAGTACCGCCACTTTAAAGTGACCCCTTGAAGTCGTGCTAAATTTCAAATAGTACGAGTAGTTATATTGCTGAATTTAAATTTATCATCGTGTCTGGGACGCCCATTTTGGTAATAAGTATAATGGAAAATATTAGATAAAAAAGTGCTTTACCTGATTGATGACAAAACAGCGAAAAGAAAACTTCTTTGATGATATCGCGAATGTAGTACTATCGATATCGAATAGGTATACTATAATATAGTATTTTCTGAATCAAATTTACCCGAGTACATAAATATTTATCATCTGCAGGTGTGAAAATCCACTCATGTAATATATTTATTACTTTTTATTTGTCTAATATTACATATACATTAGTATTATTTATAATTATGATTACCCATTATCTTTATTAATATAGACATTGGGATCATTAAAAATAATTAATTAGAAATTTTAAAGAACAATAAAGTAACAATTTATAGAAAATTCCTCTATCTCCATAAAGACCTGCGAAGGTAACCTGGGACAAGTCCGCGTCTTATTGTGTACAATTAAGAATGATTACGAAACACATTTAATTGCATAATACATAATTTCGTCGATAATAACTTGCTGTTACTCAATATTGTCGATATCAATAAATTATCAATAAACTAAATAGATGAATTAGTTTGATTAATTCAATATATTATTAATTAAATGATTAATTAATTTGTATTATCAACTTAAACTCATATTAACGACACAATTATTTTTTTGTCCTTACTTTAGGATAATATAAATTTCACGCGGACAAGCTCCCAGTTGCGAAACAACTATCTGTGGGTCAAACAAAAAGTTGTCCCGTGTGGGAATAGAACCCGTGACCCCGACGCCGAAGCCAATATCTTGGCAACTGCGCCACGGAATCAACAATTGCTTATTTAATGTGACGTAAATAGGGTATCAATTAAAAATCGATTAAATTTCAGTATTAAAAGTAGATTAGAGTTTAATTTCCACAAAACCGCGTAATCAAACTAATCAAATTTTAATGTGTTGCTAGCTCTAAGATATAAAATCTTGGAAGTAATCTTAAAAGCATGCAGAATGTAGAAAGATTGCGTTAAGATTTTCGTCGCTGTGGCTATCAGCCGTTTAGCTCAGTGGCTAGAGCGTCAGGCCGCGAATGCCGAAGACGTGGGTTCGATTCCCACAGCGGCGACAATCTTTTCGTACTTTTTCTACATGTTTTAATTTTTTTTTCTTTTTAACTTGTAATTATATACATACGTATGTATTTAATAATCTCTTTTCGTATGTGCATAAGAAGCTATAACCCTCATCAATCCTATTTTTAATATCTATTAAATCCAGAGTTTCAAAAGTATTTATCAATTCGTAGTTGATTTTATATCAAACCAAAACGGAAGTTATCATTTATATCGTCAGAAACGAGGTGCAAAATTTTATTTTATTTACTAGCTATGCCCGCGACTTCGTCCGCGTGGAATTTAAAATAAAAAAAATTCTAAAATAAAAGTAGCCTAAGTTACTCCTTATTACATTTGCTATCTGTCAGTGAAAGTCCCGTCCAAATCGGTCCAGCCGTTTCAGAGATTAGCCGGAACAAACAGACAGACAGACAAATTGTAAAAAATGTTATTTTGGTATCTGTACCGTGTATAAATCCATATGCATTTAGTAAAAAGGGGTTATTTTAATATTACTAACAGACACGCCAATTTTATTTATCTGTATCTGTAAGATGTATAGATATTTCCTTTTCATTAACTTTTGTATTATGATATCGTTATACGTATCTCAAACAAAAATATATTTTGAAGATATTTATGAAATCCGCCAATCCGCAGTGAGGTCGCGTGACGGTTCATAGTCGGACATACATTGATTGTTGCTTTACTATCTCATTTATTTAATGCGTCAATATAGTCCGGCCTACGTTAAACAAAATACGCAGTGAAGGAAATTCACCTGGTCGGAGGCTGTTGCACTCTCGCATCGCTCACGCTGTTCAGACTGCCAACGTATGCGGGATTCACGTAAACAAAATCGGGATTCCTTTCCGAGGTCTTTGGGACCTTTCCGCCGTACGGGACTGGGTGACGCGGCCTCCTCACGTCGACCCTGACCTCCCGCAGACCGGCCTCGGGTTCCACTGGCTTAGACATGGTCACCGCTCGCGCATCGTCCAACGCGACGCGACACCCCGCGCAAAACTGAAGCCAGATACGGCATCGAGCATATATTTTTCACGTTATCTCCCAGATAACGAGTAGGCGGCTTCCGATATTTTCACGGGAAAAATGGGTCGACGATGCGACGCGATTGGCTTTGTTCGATCGTGTCCGAAGCGGCGCGAGCGATTAATGAAATAGCAGTTTTTTTATGTACTTATTTACTATTACAACTAATATGTTACTGATGAGAAAACTTTCGCGTTTATGATATTAGTAAGGATTCCCGACGTATTTACATACGTTCCTGATAGATATGTCTTTTTACGTATCTTCACAAGGAGTTATAAACTGCGTTAATTAAGTTATTTGGTATCTCTATGCCTAAAAATCTTAGGTTTCCAAAAAAAAACTAAGATGTTAATACTTTTGTCGGAATTCAGTTGCATATTTATGGTATTTTATTTTACTGTTATTTCATCATTTTTTTTAAATAAGATATAGGTATACGCATTTCATGATATTATAAATAAATGGTCTAGTTGTCTAATTTAAATAATATGTTGAAAGAAACATCGTGAGAAAATCAACAAGGCAAACACATGCATATAACGTATATTTATGTGAGGAGTACATTGCTTGTTGCTTAACTTTTTCATTTTCATTGTTTTCTTTTTCATTTTCATTGTGGTATAATAGGAAGATTAATTTCCTTCCTATTATTTTTTTTATTTTTTTTTATGTGAAAAACATTATATATTGTTTTTAAATCTTCATCAAACCGTGTTAAATATTTATGTCAGGCGCGTGCGAGGACACAAGTCACTATCTCACTCTGTAAATATTTTCTGCCTAAAGATAACAGAGGATATGAATTATCTAAAACAATTTGTGTCCCACCGCGACTACTTTTCTCATTCGTTGGCCAATTCTCACAAATAAAACTAAAGAAAAACTGTCAGGCCTTACGCTCAGGACTGTGAACACGACCTATCTCTGAATTTTTCCTGCGTCCGTCATGCTTTTGTATCCTATTGCATCTGATAGTACTTAAAAAGCCAGACCTGCAGCGCCCGCGATGATGTCTTACAATGAAAAAAAATAAAAATAAATTAAAGAGACAGTAAAACCAATGCTGAATATTATATAAGTTGTATTAACACTGAGCTAATACGATGCCCCGTGGCGCTGTTGCCAAGTGCGGAGTTGGCTTCGGAGCCGGAAGTCGTGGGTTCGATTTACACCTCAACTTAAGGCTAAACAAAAGGCAAACTTAATGCTAATGAGCATTCTCTTCCAGTCAGCCCTGGGAGTAGAAAAAGTTTGACACAGGTGCAAAACAAAATACGCGAAATAAATTTAAGAAAAATAAATAAAAGAAAACAAAAAAAGCAAAGCTACAAGTATTTGTGTGACCCACAGATAATTGTTTTGGATCTGAGTATTTATCTACGTAAAATTTATGTACTCGTACCTATGTGAAACGTCCTTACAACACATAATGCTGTCCTCAGTAAGGGCAATGTATTTAAAAAAAATGTCATAATTTTAATTCCATTATTTAATGCCGTAGGTACGTCGCTTTCTAGCTCACTGGGTGTTAGAGTGCGAGCTGTGTATATGATGACCCTAATCAAATGAGAGTTCAATGGCTATCGGATAGCGACTTCAAACGGTCTCCAACGTCGCCAAGTTTTCGGCCGAAAAATATACGAAAGTGGCCCTCTGGCTGCGAGTCGGTTCCAGGCTAACAAGAGCGGTATGGCTGGCGGCATGCCGCGCGTTCTACCGCCGGGGCCACCTCATTACTTCGGCCTTAAATGGCACGGATCACGTCGGCGGCGCGGACCCTCCTAAGTGGGCATCGCCGTTAATTAGCATAATATTTCATTTTTAATAAGCGCTCCCCCACCCGTCTGAATTTTCAATTGTCATGTTTAAAGTCATTAGTGCGAGCGCCGTCGGTCAATACGCTTATAGGGGATCTGAAACGCAGCCGATGCCTGTATCGGGTCTTTTATGATACATGTTTACAAATCTAATATTTGGAATGTAGTATTAATGTGTAAGCCTATTAAAACAGTGTTGCACGAATAGGCAGGCTCGTCCGGGTAAGTACCACGACCTCACAAAAGACCGGCGTATAGTGGAAGTATAATGCTTTCGCGTTTCGTTTGGTGAGTGAGGTGGCCGGAGCCCAATTTTCAAAAGGTTGTCAACGCATCTGCAACCCTCGGTAGTAGCAGATGTCCATGGGCGGCGGTATTCACTTAACATCAAGTGAACAGTCTGCTCGCTTGGCAACTTTCACATAAAAAAAATAGTTCAAGGAGGAAAAGAAATCTCGCTGTTTATGGAGTCTTCCTTGAGTGTTTTATAATGTCGGAGAATATTGTATTAAGGACAGGGATGTGTGGAAACGACTGTTGCTGTGCACATTCGATTCCCCTAGGCTTCTGCAGATTTTATGTTGTATTTGTAAATATCATTACAAAAAACAAAGGAACAACTAAAAAAAACTAAATTAGTGAACCGGTGGTAGTGTTTTAACGTTCGACAATAAGGTTATTGAATAAGGAAATTTTAAATTGGAACTCCGATTTTGAGTTGCACTAGCGATTGGTTGACGGTTCGAATTCTAGTAACATTGATCTTATGAGCGTTTATTTAAAAAAAATCTCTTATATTTGTGCCTGTTCATCATCAACAGAGTCGTGAATTAATCTTTGGGACGTAGTTATAGTAAACTCAAATAATCTAATCTTTTCTTTGGGTTTAATTCGTAGTTATTTTTTTAGTAAATTAATTAAGGTATTTACTATAAGGCAGTAATAAGGCGGTACCATATTAGTAGAATGAATGTCCTCCTACTTTTACTTCGACAATTAGGATTAATTACTCGAAAGTTTACATACGGTCAAATGATATTAAAAACACTTAACTAAACAATTCACCCCCACGTGAAATCATTTAAGAAAGTAGTAGAGAGAAGGACTTTAAAACGCCTTCAGTCAATCGACCAATTGTAGCTAAACTCAACAAATGTTTCGTAAACTTTAATGGGCCGATTAGTTCCGTGCGTTGTTCCCACAGAGGGGCGCGCTATGACTTCGGTTAATAGCGTTAATAGGAAACACACGAAGCCACCAGTGATGGCGGATGTTGTATCCCAAGTGTAGGATGCATAAGACAAACATCAAAAGCGCATGCACAAATAGCTGAACATTAAATTAAACTATTAGTTAGTGAAATCTATTTATCGGTAGTTATCTTCATTCTCGTCTACTGACTGACTACCGAAACACTTATGTTTTCTTTATGCGCGAAGGTGGCAAACGAGTTGGCAGTTCACCCGATGTTAAGTGATAACCGACTCCCATTGATATTTTCTACACCCGAAGGGTTATAAATGCGTTGCCACATTTAAAAAAGTGGGGCCCCGGCTACCTCACTCACCTGACGAAAAGCAGAAGTGTTACGCTTCCATTTCACGTCGTTCTTCTGTGAGTTTGTGATACATAACCGGATGGAGTCTATCCGTGAAACAGCGAAGACTATTTCAACCAGTAAATAACAAGGAAAATTCCTACGTCTTATTTCTAATGTTAGTCTTAGTTCTGTTACCAATAACTAAGAAAAATGGTCCCCATTCAGTTTCCAATAAATAAGCTTATAAACATTCTCCTTCCAAGAAATTGAAGCATATACGCATCACTAGGTGGATGCGCATAGAAAAATAATCTTGCTTAAAACTGGGCACATCACTAGCGGCGCCCAGCGCGGGCCTCTGAAGTGCAACACAGCTTCCGCCTCAATGTTTGCTCTGTTCGAGCGTCTGTTGCACTCGTTAATGCGCCACGAAAGAGACGTCGAGCTGTCAACGGAGCAACGTTCAAGTCGGGGGGCGTCTCACTCGGGGGCCACCGGAACGTGTTGAATAGCCTGTGCAACGAACTCAAGGCTGCTTCAGATTTATTGTCATGGGAAATCGCCCGTGGCGGTAAAAATGTTTAATGGTCAACTCGGAGAGCGCTCCAAAGTGTCGTTTTATGTTTGAAGTGACGTCCTGAAGCGGCCGAGTGTATTTTGATGTGAGCTTTTAAATGCAGGAACGAAAGTATTATTGGTTTTTAATAGCAAATAGATATAGGGGAAGTATCGTTGCTGTTAAACGGTTTTTTTATGATAGATATCGTTGTAGATAGTTAACATGTATAAGTGTTTTCATTAAACACCCGTCAATCGTCTCTTTTCTTTTTAAAGACGAAAAGTAAGGATAAATAATGTCGTTTCTATTTTGTAAATGAGTTGTTTAGTTAAAATAACCAGCAGATATAGGCGCTATAAGATTTTGCCACCAAATCATGCATTATGTTAAACAGGGCCGCATATCAGCAACGTGATGTATCCAACAACAGATTGACGGTGAAATATATTCTTATAATAGATTGCGGTCGAATAGCAAAACTAAGCGTAGCTCCTACTAATATATCAATTATTATCTATATATCCGTATAATAACAAATGAAGTGAAAGTTACAAGAAAGCATTACATCACATCAAAAACAAAATCCACCGCGTAAACCACTGTCTCTCAAAGCCATTCCCCGCCTTTATCACCCATTGTTTGCTAAACAAGATAAAGGCTATTCGACAGGTAAATGCGTCGATATATCGGGTAGATAGCAGTTATTTGCAGACGTTGTGCCATGTGTGGCAATGTTAAGAGATACTCTTTTCGCCTTAAGAGAGCGTGTCGTTCCAATGAAATGGACGCACCGCGTTTACGATCTTACTCTAATGGGTTGCTTTTCATGTGAGCTTATTTGGACTGTTACTAAAATCTGAGTCTACATTTTGAGTGCTCCGGCTAACGTCGCCAGTTCTACATAGTTACGAAATTGAATTATTCTTACGGCTTTATTCTATGTTAATATATAGCTGACATAAAACTGTGGTAGGGCCACGCAACAGTGTTCGCTGTTGCACGAATAGGCAGGTCCTTTCGGGTCGGAAATAAACGGAAAACACACACAATACTGGACAAAGTTGCAGTCTATGTAGACACTTTAAATCACATCAACCATTACTTCGCATTTGTTAGACCACAAATCCTCGAGAACACCTGTTGAAGTAAAACATCCAATTAACCACCAGCGCTGATAGAACTTAAACTATTTATATTTTTTTCATTTGATAATGTATATGCTTCACTTTGGATATTTACAAGTTATTTAGTCACACTTAATTCGGTGCTAGTTATTATGAGCCTTGGTTCATTGTTTTAACCTCACATACATACAGAAGCAGTACGTTATTATTACCACAAAGCTGCGTTTCAATAAAGCTCCCTTTAACTCTACAGGCAAACGTTACACCTTCCCGCGCATCAGTTATGTTCAAAGTAAAATTTTCAGCAGCTTTAACTAAATTACCACGCTCTCTATTTCAGAAAATGGAGCTATTGCACGTGATAATAAAGTCGGGACCGTCTCCGCGACCGCTGGCATGGTCGCTGGAGGTATCGCCGTCGGAGAGTAACGAAGATTGGCGCATGGTACGCGCCTACGGAGACCGGGACCATTGCATGAAGCTCTGGGATCTAAGGCCCGAACGGCGGAGGAGGAAGGCTAGAGCAGCCAAAAGGATAAGCAGATCTGATAAACTGACCTGCTCCACCCAGTTCGCTAGTCCACGCCCCTTGGAAAATGGTGAAGTAAGTATCGGGTGATCAGTCAAACGGTTTTCTAATCGAATGCAGATTGTACATTTATATACGAGTACATAGAGGATGTTACATGAAACTAGTGCACAGATTTTATCGCGTTTTAATTTTGATTTCTAATTCCCGACGTGTCGAACCCTTTCCAGTGATCATGGTTACGGGACATATTGCCATGAACCCTGGAAAGTGTTCGAAACGTCGGAAATCCGTAAACGAGTTTCATTTAATATGTATCACATTCGCGTAAAATTACGAAATCACATCACAGAGGATTTTGACCTTACAGCAGTCACTTTGATTACAAAAATGTTTGATTGCTGGAAAAGGAGAACAATATATAAAATCTATCTGTTGTCTATTTCGTATGCTGTAAATATAATCACTATAACTATTAAGAAACGATCTTGTCACGAGTTATCATCGACTGAGTGTCATTGACTTTAACAACTACTTTATCATTGTTTTATTCACGCTATCATTAAGGCGCCAGTACTCACGTTTCTGCCTCTTTTGGTTTGTGTGACTAACTTAATACAAGGAAAATCTGAGCTCTACCATGATCAGCAATTGAGTACAAACTAAGAAAAGTTCAAAGAACCTGTTCGTCTGATTGTTTGAAAGATGTTAGAACACCGAACTAGCCTAAGCACCTAGTGGTAAAACCTTAAATTATCTGGAGACTGCAATCCTAGTTTTTTTTATGTGAGAAGGTGACCAGCGGCCTGGCGGTTCACCTGATGTTAAGTGATAACTGCCGCCCATGAACATTTGCAACACTTGTAGGGTCTACTCGTGCAATAGCCGAGGCTGTTGTGAGGCTCTACCACAGTTATTCAGCTAAAATGCTTTTATGTCTTATCTGCTAGTCAACAAAATGTTGTCCGGCTGCTATAATTTATTTTTTGATAAATATTCGACGTCTAGACAAATTTGCATTGTTTAGGAAATCTGAATCATGACATGGCGTTATTAATATCGATTGATACTCACACTGTTTAAAAAGTTATTTGCCGACACTATCAAACTTTGTTTGTACATAATATTGTACGTCATGAATCATGCATTGAAGTCGACGATAACATTTAATTACTTTTACCGTGAATCAGCTTTTCATATCTAGAGTTTTCATTGCATTCTAACAAATATAATATTGTGGAAATGCATTATAATTTTTGATAGTGCTTCATTGTTCTCACAATTTTGCAGCAGTCGGCTCATTGTCTAATCACATTATAAGTAGACTGCGTAGATCGGAATACAAGCAATGATATTCGAACTGAGGGTAGCCCGACTTAACTCTGACATCAAGATGTCGTCTGAAATCAAGATGTCAAACCACTTGGTACATTCCGTGGCCATGACTGGTGTGAAGTGTTTATAAAATTAAATTTTGAACCTTAATAATTTGTAAATAATAATGTTTTAAAGTATCACAGCATCCGCCAACAAAGTAAAAACGTTAGTTCCCTTTTAAAGTAATGGCGGCAAGCAAGATAATTATAATCATATTTTTCTCAAAAACTAAATGTCCCTGCATATTTTTAATTCGTAATTATTGTTTCGTTAATGTTTCTCTACAGCCGTGATAGCTCAGTGTCCGGGCGCTCGCCTTTAATTCAATATACTCGAGCAACCTGAGTTCGATCCCCAGTGCCGGCACCAATGAAGTTTTTAACTTTGTGTTTAACTTGACTAATCACGTGCTCAGCAGTGAAGGAAAACATCGTGAGGAAACCTGCATATTTTCGAAATAATAACAAAAAAAATATTTCGAAGATATGTGAAGTCCGCCAATCCGCAGTGGGGCCGCGTGGTGGACTATGCCCTGATACCCTCTATATAGAGGAGGCCTTTGCCCAGCAGTGGGACATGTACAGGCTGTTACTTTACTTTTTTTTAATGTTTCTCTATCGCTGCGAAAAACTCTCATACCCCAATTGTAAACAATTATCGGAGACAAAACCAAAAGTAAGTAGAGATAAGACCCGGAAAGTAATTGTAATAGAATATATAATCTTCAGGGAATTCACTTAATTTGCAGATGCACGTTGCGATAGGAGAGGGTATATCGGCGCGTCGTGTTCGCGTCAGCTTCCGCGCGGCGCACGCTGCGGCGCCCATGCAGCAATATTACAGCGTGAGGGAGCTGACCCTGGCCGCCAGGTGCCTCTGCCACGGCCACGCCAGCCAGTGCGCGGTTGACGCTGAGGTGAGGGCATCTTCAAAGACGATTCAGTTACAGCTCATACGCTTGTCATGGTGACAATGTCTAGATCAGGTTAATTTTAGAAATATAAAATAGGACCCTCCCACCTTAATTTATAAAAGTGTGGCTTATAATGTTACTCTAACTAAATGTCGACTGATAGAGCTAAGAAAAAAACTCGGCCAAGTGCGAGTCGGACTCGCGCATGGAGGGTTCCGTACCATTGTCTAAACAAACGGCAAAAAAACATGTCCGTTGTATGGGAGCCCCACATAAATATTTTTTTATTCTTTTTTTTTACTTTAGTTTGTTATTACAGCGGCAACAGAAATACAATATCTGTGAAAATTTTAACTGCCTTACTATCACGGTTCATACAGGTGACAGATGGACAGACAGCAGAGTCTTAGCAATAGCGTCCCGCTTTAACCTTTGGGTACGGAACCCTAGAAACACGGTAGAGTTCAAACCGTGAAAACCTCAGAACAGTTTCACTTTGTAATGGAGTTCGAGGTCATACGGTCATCGGTCGCAGGGCGCCCGCTGCTCATGTCTGCACGACACCTGCGGTGCCCACTGCCAGCGGTGCTGCTCTGGTGGCGAGTGGCGACCCGCGTCCGCGTGCACCACCGCCACCAGCCCCACCAACCCCACCAACCCCACCACCGACCACACCGAGGACTGCTCCTGCGGACAGCGCGGCGCCTGCTCCTACGACGACACGGGCGCGATAATATGCATGAACTGTACGGTGTGTATTTGTCACGGGGTTAATGAAAATCCCATTTATATTCAAGGAATACTAGCGACCCGCCCCGGCCTCGCACGGGTGCAATCTATTATACATACAAACCTTCCTCGTGAATCACTCTATCTAGTAAAAAAAAACCGCATCAAGATCCGTTGCGTATTTTTAAAGATCTAAGCATATATATAGGGATAGACAGACAGCGGGACGACTTTGTTTTATACTTTGTAGTGATTTCACAAATAGGAGCGAGCGAAGTACCAATGGTTTCTGGCTATAGATATCCGCAACCCTTCAGCGATACAATGTCAGTCTGCGCCTGTCAAGATTAAATAGCAAAGTCGCAAAGTTGTAAAGTATTGATATATAAAGGTAGGTATTGGTACATGAACTAAGGGTTGCTCAATTGGCAACACGTTTTGTCTGTTCTGTTGTAAATTTTTTAACTAAACAAAGGCCTCATAAATGAAGAGATTATCAACCATAAATTGTATGTCAGTCACTATTTCCCAATATATTCCATAAAGTTCTTTTGTCTTATTTAAAGATTTATTGCAAACGATATATATATTATTCATTCTTTTATGTAAATAAAATATCTTTAACGGTAGTGAATCATGCTTTGCTTTTGTGTTCGATCCTAAAGAAAAAGATTTCTGTAATATCTGTCCTGAACCGGCCCCAAATAGATCAACGGATCTCAATGAAAATTAGATATAGCGTTTAATAAAATAAACACTTTAAATTTTCATGTAAGCTATTATATACATTTCGACATCTTGCTGGGTTCAGAAGATATTTTTTATTAGGGTTAAAAACTCCCCGTAATGAGTAACGGACATTCAAGTATTCATATTAATTTCGGCTAGTTTATATATACTATATGTATATATATATAAAATGTAAGTATATGTTATGCTGTTGGTGTACCTTAATAAATAAACACATATACGAACATAACTGACATAACAGGCTTTTCAGGACAATCGCGCTGGGCCACTGTGCGATCGGTGCCTGTTCGGCTACTACAGCGCTGTGCCTGACGGGCTGTGCGTCCCTTGCGAATGCGACCCAGAGGGGTCTGACGGTGAGTGATGAAAACAGAAACGGGAAACTTCCTTTTAACGATAGACCAAGTAACACCATACAGACATAAGAAAGACACCAGTTTTACTATGTATGCGTGCCTTGGAGTCCGTTGTCGCCTGCGCTATATCTCGTTTCGGTATCAGGTATATGTCTGCTTAGAGGGATTTTCATTTCTTTTTATTTTCCACTCGGCTCTCGGCAGGTGAGTTAAGTTTTTGCTCTTAAACTGTCTCTACCACCACTAATTGGCACTTATCATAGGATAATATGAGTAGGTGTATTTCAAGAAAACAGTATAAATAATATTCCATGTTCCATAAAAAACAACTTTACAGAGGTCCGGAATTTTTACGAGGTGGTCACGATAATTCCCGAAAAAAGGGACGTACCGAGACCGGGTTTTGTTTATTATCTTCAGAATAACATCAACTAGTTACCCATTTAATATAAGTAACCCGTAATTTTTTAATAGAGCGTTTTTTTATTAGTTCACATTGTCTAAATAATACAAATAATTCAATGTATAAAATTCAAATAAGTGGTATGAGGCGTGCTCTTGGACTTTCCAAGGTAGCGTTAACAAAGCCTGTTACTTAGAGATAGATAGATTTATCTCTCGAACACCTGTCGGTAACGGCATAATGGTCGCAGGTCGTATACGTATATTAATTGTTACACGCGACACAATTAATAAATACAGAATATGCAACAACCGTTCCAGGCTCCTGCATTTGGGACAAAAAGCATCACCAGGTGAGGTGCAGCTGTAAGCCCGGGTATTCCGGAGGGCAGTGCGACGCCTGCGCGGATAGCGAGGCCTCCTTCCCCGGCTGTGGCCTCGAGGAAACGACCCCCGCCTGCAAATGCGACCCCAGGGGCATTGTGGACTCCAGCCGCGTCTGCGATGAGGTCTGCGAGTGTAAGGTAAGTCTGGCTTCTTTCTAGTTGTGTCCAGAGTAGTTTGTTTTTGTTTTATATTGATAAGTTGTAGCCTGCGGTATCGTGGTTATAAAAAGCTGGTGAAGATCCAATCCTTTATGCTAGGAAGTAGTTATTGGATTATGTGCGTTTTCCTTTGTCTCTCTATTGCAAAGATATAGTGATATATTTAGCCTCTCTTCTTATTTCTTCCCGTACTAAACGGTAGGTTGATCGGTTTTCTAACTATAAGATGTCTACTATTAAACTTGTTTCGTGATCTAATGAACGTGACAATCCACTACATCACACTCTCATACCATTACGTCAAGAGAAAGAAACTCTCGTCAGCATATTCTGCAAAAGTATAAAGGGTCTTTTAAGTCAAACGAGGTCGCAGAGCTGCCAACCTTGAATTGCAAAAGTACATTAACAACACTTTATAGCCGCCGCCGTCGTCTTATTAATTCACTTACACAAGTTGCCGCGTGAGTACACCGTAATGATGGCACTGGGTGAAGGCGAACGTGGTGGGCGAGCGGTGCGACAGATGCGCGGCTGGCCACTACGGGCTCAGCGGCGAGCTGGTCTCCGGCTGCCGGCCCTGCTACTGCTCCCACGTGACGGACAGCTGCCACGCGGAGAGGGAGCCGGCGCGCGACGTAAGCACCAGCTCGGCTCGGCTTATCAAAGTCGACATTTCTCTACTCGGTATAGGCTCAATTTAAGCTATGACGTCATGGTAGGACCACGTAATAGTCGTGTTGCACGAATGGGCAGGTCCGTCCGGGGTACCACGACCTCACAGAAGACCGCACTCTCTACGGATGTTGCAAATGTCAATGGGCGGCGCTTATCACTTAGCATCTGGTGAACCTCCAGCTCGATTTGGCGTCTCATATACAAAAAAAGTCAAAACTACCACCAGTTCAGTTCACATATCTTGGAAAATATTTATTTCTTGTTATTATTTCGAAAATATCCAGATTTCGTCTCGACCTTTTGCTTCACCGCTTACCATTCGAAGGATAAAATAGAGAATTTTGTAACCAATTAAAAAATAAAAACTGAAACAACTTATTATATAAATTGTTTCAGTTTTTATTTTTGTACGTAATATTGATCTTTTAAATTTTATGTGTACGATACTACACAACTGACATGTCAAATATTTCATATCATCTGTGTGAGAGACAAGAAATATAATAACGAAAAACTCAGTGAGCAAATTTATTTCTCCCCGACTTCACGATCTACAATATGACTACAGTTACTACATGCAACGGTCTCTTACTATTATTTTATAACCCTTTCTATTTACGACAACTGAGATTATAATAAAAGGAGTTAATTACAATTTTTTGGGAATAAAAGTAGATCTAACTAAAGGTCCATAGCCCGTAATCAAAGAACTATGTACCTAGTACTTGAAACATCAATGAGCTAGATAAATTAAATAAAAAGTTCCTTGAACTGCGTTTGATTACGATTTATTTTTAGTATTAGTAACAGCCTATACATGTCCCACTGCTGGGCAAAGGCCTCCTCTATATAGAGGGTATCAGGGTATAGTCCACCACGCGGCCCCACTGCGGATTGGCGGACTTCACATATCTTCGAAATATTTTTTTTTTATTATTATTTTCGAAAATATGCAGGTTTCCTCACGATGTTTTCCTTCACCGCGGAGCACGTGATAAGTCAGCACTTAAAGTTAAAAACTTCATTGGCCGGCACCGGGGATCGAATTCAGGTTGCTCGAGTATATTGAATTAAAGGCGAGCGCCCGGACACTGAGCTATCACGGCTCGATTACGATTTTAAACAGTATTAAAATAACTTTCTTGATTCTCTATTATTCAGTCTTGGCTTTTAATAATTACTTTAGAATATTAAACTTCTCTTATGTTCTCGAGGAAAGATGGTGCTGCCCCTCGGCGATGCTTGGCTGATCAGCGACTGGCAGGGAGAAGAGACTTACGAGCCATCAGTCGACGACCAGGGAAAGCCTTTTCTGATAAGCTATGAAGTAAGATATGGAAGTTATCTTTACTATATATAATATTATAAAGAGCAACGATTTGATTTTTCGTTTGTTTGTTTGTTTTAGCCCAAAAATTGCTCGACTGATTTTAAAAATTCTTTTACCATTAGAAGCTACATCTTTACAGAGTAACATAGGTTATATTACATTTTCAAAAAAAATTAGAGATCCATACCTAAAAATGGAACAATATAAACCGAGAGATTAAAATGTTGCCTGTAAAAGACATTATTTTACGTGCGCTGCGAAAACTTTATTATGTATCAAATAGTGTTTTATACATTAAAAGTACTCATGATTGCTTACAAATAAACTATATTTTAATCCGGTATTCTCACAGGAAACGGGAACGACGCCGGTGAAATGAAATATCCATATAAATTCTTATGTAACACGGCCAAATAAAAAAATAAAATATACTTGTAGGTCGAGGGTTGGGAGAACTACTACTGGCTGACGAATACCTTCAACGGGGAGCAGCTCTCGATGTACGGCGGCGAAATTAGGGCCAGCCTCTTTTGGGGGGTGGCCCGTGGGGACACCGGCGGGAGCCCCACCGTCGGACCCGACCTCGTACTCGTCTCAGCTGGTAACTATCCGCAAATTTAAATGTCCTTATTTTATTGAGTATTTGCCTTTTGAGATATATTTAGATATAGATATATAAAGTTCTTGTGACAGTTTTAGTGTTTATAGTCCTCCGAAACGTCTTGACCGATTTTGATGAAATTTTATATGTATATTCAGAAGTTATGAGAATAAATTTATAAGTTTTTTTTATTTTGTTTCCTACCCTACAAATAATGAATATGGCAAAACAACTTTTGCCGAGTAATCTAGTATGGTATATATATTGATGAACGTATAAATATGACCGAATTACATCTGTTTAAATCTGGTTGTGAAGAGGTTGCAACTGATTTAGTAACGGCAAGTCAAACATTTTGGGTTTCTTTTTTATTTCTCTTTTACAATGTTACAGTTCCTACGAGTGAACGAAATTATTTGGGAAAAAAATTATTAATCAAATTAAAAATTTTAGTACTTCCGGATATTTTTATAGGCAACCCAGCAGAAACGTATTATTCTATTAACAGTGACCTCTAAAAATTGCATTTTGTTTAAAAACAGATGAACGCAGAAATCAAGCAGTTCTATCTTATACTATGTGACCATGTTGCCATTCTTTTCGGCTGGTTCCAAACGATAAATATTTAGATAAATCACGAGTAATATATTGCTCACACATGCCAAATTTCACGTCTAGTTGCGCGTTCACTGCCCGGGCACTGGTAATGCACGAAATTTTTCTCCACCCGTAATTTCTGATGCTGGGAATCTTCTGGGCACTCTACGAAAGGGAACGCTACGAATTTCAAGGCTTCATTCTGACCGCTCACACCGCACATTGCAGACGGCTCGAGACTCGCGTACAGCAACAGCAGCCACGAGAGTCCGGGTGAGCTGGAGCTGACCGCCTCCCTGCTGGAGGGCGGCTGGCGCACCGACCTTGGAGACGTGGCCAGCCGCAGCCAGCTGATGGACGCGCTCAGCGACGTCCGAGGGCTGATGCTGAGGGCGCACTTCCACAACGACCAGGACGAGGTGGGCCCCCACTTTCAGAAGGTCTCTGCTGAGTGGAACGACAGCTTAGCTGACAGCTCACAGCTGACTGGACCGAGGCCCCGTGGAAGATGTGGACTTAAACGATTAATATAACTAGACTGATGCATTTGTAATGTTGGACTTCGTCCGGTGTGGTAGTTGAGAGGGCCCATGATCATCATCCTCATCGTAATTTTGGCCTGGTGTATGTGTCGCCAATGTCAGACCTAGTCGGGTTGGGTTAATGGGTTCGGGACCGCAGTTTTTCGACACATCTCGCACCTTAAACGCTGTTGCCTGAGTATTTGGGTCTAGAAAATCGGCATAGTTATCTCGCCCTCTATTTGAGGCAACTAGATGTTTGAGGCATATAACTTAGTCGTCTGCCACGACACCCACGCAATCGCCTGCTTGTATATTTTCAAATAAAAAATTTAGAGAAGGTGATACACGCTCAAGCACATCACATGTTGGTATGTGATCTAATATCTCTAAAACATCGACAACATGTCTTCTGGTTTTTAAACTCACCGAAAGATAAGAAATTTATAATTACTTGCACTTTAAACCGAATTTTTTCTATGGGAATGGGAATAAAACGGCAATTATCTCGTAAATATGCTCGACCATAGTGCTTTTAGTGACTCATCAAACTTAATGTCCCCATAAATTGTTGTATGACTCAAAAACACTTCAATCGACAAGATTGTTTTAGATAGTACTTTCCAATTATGATAGTGCTGAGTCATTTCAAAGTCCTCGAATGGAATTAACGCGCGAAGCGACAACTCAGATACGTGGCTATCTCAGACATCAATGCATTTATATCAAACGTGTTATAATCTCGCCCTTGAAATAAAACAGGTACTTTAACAGCAATGCGGTGCCAATAACAAAATACAAGGTCGTCTACACTGCTACACTCGTCTACAAGTCTGACAGATGCAGGTGCTTGTATCGTTGAATCGACCGCACGACGCGGGCAGTGTGTCGAGGGTTGTACCGCCCCAGCAAACAAAATTAAGCTAAAATGTCACATGTCTATGTGCCTGAAAAAAAAAATCGTGCGATAAAAGCGATTGCCGCGTGGTGCCACCGCACGTGCTAATTTCGTTCATAAAACGCGGTCCACGCGGCGCAACGTTGGCTCGTCGAGCACTATGCGTCCATCGTCCGAACGGGCGTCGTAGCTCCGCTTAATGAGAGGCCGTGGCGCCGGCCAGGTGCGGCTGGGGGGCGCGGGGGTGCGCGGCGCGCGGGCGGGCGTGCGCGAGCGCTGCGCCTGCCCGCCGGGCCACGCGGGCGCGCACTGCGAGCGCTGCGCGTGGACGCACGCGCGGCTGGTGCGCGCGCCCTCCGCCGCGCCCGCCTTCGAGTGCGTGCCCTGCCCCTGCAACGGCCACGCCGGCTGCCGCGCCGGTGAGTCCGCGGCGTACACTTGTACACGCTCAAATCTACGTTCGTTTATACTAGGTGAGTCGGCGGCGCGTTTGTGCACCAGGGCGACACCGGAGGTTCTTACAACTGCCCAGTTGGAAACATCGCCGGTGGAGAAGTATTAGAAGTTCTTTTGAATTTTAAATATAGAACTTTGGTAGCGTTATGTGATGTATTGAATTCGTTTGTCATTTGTTTTTGTGAGTCGGCGGCAATCCAAAAAGGCTTGCTACAACTCTAAATGAATTCGGACAATCTTAGTTATTGGGATGAGTCGAGTACAAAAAATATTACACGGCCATTTAGGGAACAGAAAGCTTTGTACCAGATGGATTAAACTTTGACCGAAGACCAGGAACGCCTTCGCATGGATGGGTCTCGCGAAAGTCCGTTAGATAAGTTCAACAGGGGTGACTGTAATGCTGTGAGATAAAAAGAAAAAGAATCTTAATTCTCATTTTTAAGAAAATTCTTTTTATCTCACAAGGTGTCAAGCGATCTGTTATGTCTGTCTGTATGTTAAGTGATAACCGCCGCCTAATTCTGCAACAGTCGCAGCTGTGGCGTGGCCCTACCATAGTTGAAAGTAATGTCAAAATTAAAAAAGCGAACCATAGATAATCAAACGCATTCTTGATAAAAATGGGTATCTGTAGCAATAGCAGAACGAAATCATAGTCATGCTACTGGCAATTTGTACAAGCACATCGTATTTCACTACGGTGCTATATGCTACTTGTCCCAACTCACAACCTTAAATACTTATCTATAGTTTGCCAAGCAGAAATATTATCTAAAGTGACGGCCTAAAACCGTGTGTATTCATTGCCGACACGTATTTAAACAATACTTCAGCAAAACGATATTTCGTATCATTAGGCCAACTGCTCAACAAAGGAAGCATGCATGTTTTGGAAATAATAACAATAAAATATTAATATGAGATATGTGAAGTCTGCCATTCCATAATGGGTTCGCGTGGTAGACTCTGTTCTAATACCTCTGTGCAGAGGAGGTTATTACTTCACTTTTCAGCCCAAGTTATAGACGCATATAGAAAATAAATCCCAAAATACTTATATTTTACTTGAGGAATAAAATTAATCTCCGATAACTAAAACAAATATGTTGGACACAGTGGACGGGCCTTGCGGGCCTTGCCAGCACAACACTACTGGGCTCCATTGCGAACGGTGCCTACCAGGTCATTACGGAAACCCGGTCCAGGTATGCGCTTAAATATCTTACCCTATGCGACTTAAAAAATTCAAAACCTTAAAAAACATTTGAATTTTTTTTAAGAGCATTACGACATCTTTGTTGTTACAAATGTCCATCGTTGAATGTGTAAGGTGTTGAATGCTGTAATGGGTGCACTAGATCTCGCCAAGCATTGCTAAAAATGCAATAGAATGAACGTAAATAGATGTCAAGATTTTCGCGCCGCGCTATCATCGGCCGCTGAGCTTAGTTAGTAAAGCTTCTGGGCGCGCAACCAGAAGACGCAAGTTCGAATCATGCGCTGAAAGTTTTTGTTCGTTTATGGTACAAAAATTATCAAATTTAAAATAAACGATTACACATTATCTTTGTGTCTCATTTTTCTACTATTTTAAAGCTATATTTAATTATTAGTGACTAACATATTATGATCGTATTTGTTAAAAAATTGCTTATTCAGTTGGGTCGAAAAGTAAACTTCTGGATGACCAGAATTAAATCTAGTGATGTCATACTAGAAAGACTCCTTAAAGAAAATTTAAAAATACTCACGAATTTGTTGTTCACATATATCTTCACCTTTCTAAAACATAAATATTATGTCAATGCTTATAAATACCTAAAGAGAAATGATACGAAATGCGACTCAGGGCTCGTGCAAGCCGTGCGCGTGCCCATTGTACCTGCCCTCGAACAACTTCAGCCCGAACTGCGCCCTCGCCTCCGCCGAGGGCGACGACTTCGTCTGTACCCAGTGCCCCGACGGGTACACCGGCGATCGCTGCGAACTGTGAGTCCACCGATCATGATTGTGATCATCTCTTGCGTTCTTTTTAAATGACGGTGCTTGTGGCTCACCTGCTGTTGTCCGTATGTTACATCTCCATAGCACATTTCGATTGCTCAATTCGTAATTATGATGTGTTTTTCTCTTGCTTCAGTCACAACCCAGCTGGTGTGCAACTGTGGTGAAGTGTGTGATAGGTAGCGGTCATTTAATTGATAGTTACAGCACTAGCACGCTAAAAACATAATAACTTGCATATAAACCACTGCTCAAAGTAAAAAAGTAAACATTTCTTTATTCATTATAGTCCTTGCATTAAGCTCGCTCTTGTTGAACGTAAAAAACCACCGCCGGTTCGCTAAAATAGACCTGTCCAGAGAAGTATCGGCAAAAAACTCTGCGGTCTATGTTATCTTTTTTTAGTGATGGAATTATACAAAATTATTCAGGTATAAAATCAGCAGCAACCAGGGGACTTGCAAGTGCAGGGCAACAGTCGTTTCCACACATACTTGTCCTCTATATATTCTTCGAGAGTCATTTTGCACACGTCCTTATCCTCAATACATTTTTCAACATGATAATAGGCCCTTGCCATAGTAACAGTAAAACCTATCAACTCTTGCTTGCGGTATATTAAAATGCTTCTTTTGATTTTGATTTTGATTTTGATCATCATCTTTCCGTAAGTGCAGCTTCTGGGGCAGTGCAAAGCTTTAACCGTCGTAGGATGGTGCCAGATGTAAGGTCCCTTCAATGTCTCGAGTGGTCCCCAGCTGCGACGTGGGCTACTGGGGCTCTCCGAGCACGGCCGGTGGCTCTTGCCAGGCGTGCGCGTGCGGCGGGGCGCCTTGCGACTCTGACACCGGCCGCTGTCTCGTCTGCCCACCGCACACCGAGGGCGCCCGCTGCGACCAGTGCCAGGTATTGTAGATCTTATGCCCCTCTATTTAAGACTATGTTCGAACTCCAAGACACATGGTCGTCTATGCTTAGAATTTAGTTCACATACTACTATATTAGTTTACTGAGGAGGCCTTTGCCCAGTAGTGGGACGTGTACAGGCTGTTGCTTTACTTTACTTTTCACAGTAGCTTGAATATTGAATCGATGACGTTTAGTACTTTTAGAGGTAAGTTAAAACATCCGTCATGGATCCAAATGCTCAAAGAGAGTGTTGAATGGGATTTTTGTGTAGATTTCTGTGCGGACAATTCCTGCGATTGCTGTAATTTTTGTCTGCATGACTAATCTAGTTCGCTATGGTTTTGTTGTATGCGAAACAAGTAAGTTATCAAGATGATTTTGTAAAATGGCCCGTATTGTGCCGTAGAGTGGGGTAAAACAAGATTATTGTCAAAGCCAGCAAGCGGTGCCAATCAGCGAATGTAAATTTGAATTTTTATTTTTTCCCTAATAAAAAAAAATTATACTCATATACAGCCCTTCTCAATATATCCCCTCTAATCGTATCAATCAAAGCAATAACACAGTTAATGTTACTAGGTTTTATGCATTCGACTTGCGAAAAATCGATCCTTAAATACTTTCCGAGAAACGTGCGTTATTTATAATGAACATTGGTTGTGAATAACCAATGTGAGTGAGTGATAAATCTGCAGGAGGGCTACTGGTTGGGCGGGGCGGGGGAGGAGTGCGTGGGGTGCGAATGCGGCAGGGGCGCTCTGTCCGCCGCGTGCGACGCCCGCACGGGCCGCTGCGCCTGCGCCCCCGGCTGGGCGGGCCGCGCCTGTGACCTCTGCGCCCCTGGACACGGAGGTCAGACTTGGCTTATTCTCGAGTTCATAACGGTTACATGCTAATTCATAAACATCCATTCGAACTCACAGGGTCCTATCCAAACTCACAGCTATCCAAATTCATAACAGTCCTTTACTGATATGATAACATTCCTAATTAGATTTATAATACTCTTTGCGACAGTGTTAACTCATAGTGCACACACTTTCACACACTTTGCATAGACTAACAGTGTTAGCGATTAACGATTATACATATAGTTGTCCCGGCGCCGATGCCGATTCCTTAGCAACTTCGGCACGGACTCATCAAATGTATTACATCAAATATAATATACAAATATAGTAGTACTCTTGATTGTCACCCGATACGTGAAGACGTGGCGGCCGGCTGCCCGTTGTGCCGCTGCGGGCCGGCGGCGCGCGGCGGCGGCTGCGACCCGCAGAGCGGCGCCTGCGAGTGCGCACCTGGCGCCGCGCCCCCCCGCTGCGACGTCTGCCTGCCCGCCCACTACGCGCTCGGCGGCCAGGGGTGCTTAGGTGAGTCGCTTGTTATACACTATGCTAATAACACGTTACGCTCTCTCGCACTAACGTGATGCGTCAATGTGCCTTCTAGTAATAGTTCTATAATAAGTATTTAGTGCGACAGAGAGCGCAATAGGTCGCGTCCTGCTCTAGCTCTCACTCTTTACTATAGCTGCTGCCCGCGCTTTAGCTCGCTCGTTGTGGGGGAATCCTCCGCAGACTTGGAGTCCAGAAAATGTGAAGTGCTCCACAGAAACCGAGAATTTTTCCCGTATGCAAAGTGAGGGCTTTGTATATCACAGTCTGGGATATAAACTATGTGAAAAGTGACGATAGACTTTTGCTCTGCTTAGCATGAGAGAAGGATAGAAAACCATTCATAGTCTCGTCCTAATTTTGTTAGAGACAAGAGCCACGCAGCAATTGCTGTCGTCGCTGCAGATATCGAATTGAAAGAAAGAGCACAAGGTATACTTAGCGGTACAACTTTCATGGGCAGAAAGAACGGATTCGGCCTGTACCACGTTCTCATTGAAGATTTGCCCTTTTAAGAACCATTGCGTGGCAGAACACCTTCTAGTGATGTATATAATGCTCGACAAGTAAACAATTTAATAAGCTTTCTAGAAAATATTACATATTTACTAATAGTGTTATTTTACACTGTTCATTTGCAAACCTAAGAGCTAAACATAGCTATTTTTTATTACTCTTTGCTCATAGGGATCAGTGTTCACTGATTCCTAGGCTGAAGGCCTTTAATGTTTAATGTTATACGCCACCTGTAAGATAATATTTGATTAATTATAAGAATAACAAAAAAAAGTATTTACATGTAAATAAATGACTATAAAATTACACGTTTATTTGGGACTCCAAAAATAATTGAACACAATTGTCCAGAAACTATTTTACGATAATCATATTTTAAAATCATTGCATGTATATTGATATTCTTCAGTTTAGTAGTCCTTTTATTAACACAAGGTCCCAAATTGACTCTGAGCGAGGTAATTCGATAACTGGCCTTGTACCGTGTCCGACTCTACCTCAGGCGGGGTTACAATTGCTCGCAATTTACGTAATCACGGACCCACCTCGAAGTATGCCGCGGGACCTTTCGTTATTAACTGAAGTAATTTTGTTTGTTTACACGATTCTATTGCTAACTGCTGGTGTTCGAACATGTTATTCGCTCAGTTGGCGATGTTATGTTCATTATTTCGTCCCGTCATGTATGGCTAAGTTTCTTTATTACGACTCTACCAAGCTAAAATCTAAAAGTATATTATATAGTTTCGCATTTAACTAAAATAATATAAGTATATTATTTTAGTTAAATGGGACGTTATTCTCATATCCATGTCGATGTTTATTCCATAGTTTCGCAAGGTCCGGTTTAATCTGCACAGGACTAAAACATTACAGAACTGAATGGTTTAAAAAAAAAGACGTTTTGATCTTGATTCTATTTTGGTCATCAGTTACTAGAGTTTAATCCTTCGATATACTTCAGTGTATTCCCACCGAGAGGTCGAGGTGCTACAATACACAATTCGTTCAGCTCATATTACATTACGCACTGAAATGTACTCTGACGTCCAATCGCTTGAAATGTAAATCATAGATTTAAACTGCACGTGCACCAGATAAATTTTTGCTATAACCTCTTGGAACGGTCCATTGTTGTTGAAGCAATAGCTTCGAATCCGAAGGTTTTTCTCTAGATTTAGGGCTCGTTGATTGTCTGGTGATGCTAGTTTAGAGTATCGGTGTCGGGGTTGACCACTCCCCTAATTTATCCGACGTGTTGGTTCCCTCCAATGCTAACAGCTTCTTTTCTCGCAGCACGTAAAATCCATTTGTGTTGCAAGAAAAATTCAAGTATTTCCCCTCGATCTGTTTGGGGCCTTACACGATACAATTATTAATATGGGATATATTAACTATCTATCCAGATATTTAAAAAAAGTCCCAATACGTAACTTTTCTCTGTAAAGAGGTAAATATCAATGTGTGCACTCCGCACGCATGTGTGGGTCGCAGCGTGAGTTATGACGTCAATGTCGGTTCGTTTATTCGAACAGTGATCGCCGGCAATAATGCGCCAGGATTGCAGCAAATTGCTAGGCGCCCCAAGATCGCAAATCATTGAATGTGCATTGAGATCCATACTCTCATATTAAGAGCCTATACAACTTGTTACTGTTCGTTTGGAAATATTCCATACATACTGTGTGTGTAAATATAATTATTAAAATACAAATTATTGGTGACTTTTAATGTGACTCAAATTCGATCTTATGAACAATTCTGTGATAATTCAGTATTTACAGAGTTTACACTTAAATTAATTAGATTTATGCTAAATAGCTACGTACATACATTTCATTTGTGTATAATAACTAAATCAGCGCGGGCGTCTCCTTGGGGTACTCCATACAATAATTTTTTAACATGTTTTATATAATATCGACAGTTTTTAAAATGTATAGGTACACTCAGAGTTATATTGATATCATCCGAGGAATAACTTTCACCTACTTTTAATGATATATTGAATGTTCTATTTTAATTTCTCTTAATAAAGGTCCATGATAAATGTCAATTCTTCAATCAATACCGATCTAAGACGGCGATAGCTATATATCGTAATAATTAAAACGGCTATGGTTATATTAGATAGGCTGGTACCACCAACGACTGCATCTCCACTTAGCATCAGGCAACATTGTATTCAAGCACCAGCCAGTAATAAAAAAAGAAAAGGGAATAACAGGATGAATGCCGTATCTTAAATAGAAAGATGTTTTAATGTAAGGTTTTCAATACACGGTTCTTATACTGATAAGAAGACGACGATTTGCTTTTAATTTCTTGTTACACCTCACTCTAAAACTTTAGTTGTATCTCTAGAAATTATTTCATTAATGTTAAACAAGAATTATACCATAACACTGTTCATCGCGTTTACCCACATGTCCATTTTTATTAACGAACAACAAAACCGACTTCTCGCTCTGTATTCATTTCATAATTGATTTTCAGGTGTTCCCTGAGTATCTTTGGAGCCCAAGATCCATCAATCCATCGCAATGAAATGAATTAAGTTAAGCTTTAATATAAAAAAAGAATCATCAAAATTGGTTCATGATCAAATTCGAAAGTTCTGACGTAACAAACATTACAGTCGAATTGAGAACCTCCATTTTTGAAGTCGGTTAAAATATTCAATTTAAACTTGATTTTCGTCAGCCGATAAAGCGTTTACGTCAACAAATAGAACAATGTGTCGAACTATCGGACTACCTCTACACTATAAATACGTCTCTGAGTACACTTGTGCACAAAATCACTTCACTGACTTTACGTGACTATGCATCATCATCATCGTCGAAGCCATTAGTTTGGCAGCTACACAACCGAGTCATCTAATTGAATTTAATTTTCTCAAACTCATGGTACCTAACCTCTTTTCCACCACAATTACCAGTTTCATTTTAAAAGGTTTTTTTATGTGAAAAGTTGCCAAACGAGCAGACGGTTCACCTGATGTTAAGTGAATAGAGCCCATGGACATCTGCTCCACCCGAGAGTTACAGGTGCGTTGACAACCTTAACTTAATTTAAACTGCGCTCTGTATTGTGTTCGCTAGTGTACTCGGGAATGATTTATTTTTATTGAGGGCGCATTAATGAGAATCGCTGTGGGCGGTGTTTCTGGGAGATCAGCTGTTCCGCCGTATCACGCGCGACGAGACTGTGTGTCTTCGCCGTTCGTTGATATACTGATGTATGCACTTCATATTGACAAACATACATTTATTTTATTTGTATTCGCACGCAAACAACCACGCAAGCGAGGTATTCTCAAAAAGGATTCACATTAAACGTATATACGCTAAAGTTTATTTGCATCAAACGTCATTAAAATATTTTAGAATGTTAACTGATAATAAATGTCAGTTAAAATACCTTATGAAGATATTTAGAGGCCGTGATATCTCAGTGTCCGGGCGCTCGCCTTTAATTCAATATACTCGAGCAAGCTGAGTTCGATCCCCGGTGCCGGCACCAATGAAATTTTTAACTTTAAGTGCTGACTAATCACGTGCTCCGCGGTGAAGGAAAAAATCGTGAGGAAACCTGCGTATTTTCGAAATAATAACAAAAAAAATATATATTTCCCAGCGGGGCCGCGTGGTGGACTATGCCCTGATACCCTCTGTATAGAGGAGGCCTGTTACTTTACTTTACTTACTTTATATTTAGAGGCATTTGCTGTCAAATTTCTAGTATAATTATGTCTTCAAGCTCAACAAGCTCTCACGCCCTTAAAACCTAACGGTTACATATCGAAAGTATTAGAGAAGCTTAGGCTACATGCAATTCGAGCCTATTAAGCCTTTAAACTTATCTCGTGGTGAAATATCGAAGACTGGCCACATTTCGAGAGATACCTTAAGAGTTCGAAACCTTGACCTTAGATCAGATAAGACCAGTCTACGTCACCAACTCCTTCACCACTGTCTCTGAAGTAAATTTGTCTTTTTTACGATGCGACGATTACGATTTACGACGATGCCTCATGACAATACAAGTAAAGCAATTATCGTTTTATCCGTCCTTAACGCGCGTGAAAACTTTGCTAGTATTCAGTTTCCAATAAACGAATTAAATAGAGTTAAAGAACCCATTGCATTCCAACATATGCACGGGCCGGGCTTATACAAGCCAGTTAAAAATATACTCTATTCAAGGACAGAGGTTCCCAAAGTTGGAGTCGCGGTGTCCTAATGCACCGAGAGGACAAAATAATTCCTGGTATAACGTCTTAGAGCCGGGCGCTCGCCTTTAATATACTCGTGCAACCTGAGTTCGATCCCCGGTGCCAGCACCAATGAAATTATCAATTTTAAATGCTGTGTTATCACGTTCTCAGCGGTGAAGGAAAACATCGTGAAGAAACCGGCATATTTTCTAAACAATATATACAAAAAAAATATTTCGAAGATATGTGAAGTCCACCAACCCGCAGTGGGGCCGCGTGGTAGACTATGCCCTGATACCATCTGTGCAAAGGTGTCCTTTGTCCAGCAGTGGGACATGTACAGGCCGATACTTCACGTTTACTTTTAACGTCTTCATTTCCTTGCTTCCTAAGTCACTGTACACAATTTTACTAGGTTGCCATGACAAAATACTAGTCATATCAAATTAAGCGCCCAGTTAAAATCTGAAAAAATCTTTGGGCATCCCCGCAATACTAATGCAACGAAGTGTCGAGTGCACACGCTTCTGTCTGTGGCCCCATTCATCGATTCGACGCCGTTTGCAACAGCATAGTACTATTTTGAACACGTTTATTTGCAGCTTCGGTTATGACTTAGAAATACATCGAAACACTCGTGCATAATGTTTGGGCGCTAGATGCCAAATGTTTTTACCTTTCATAAACTACCTTTAAGCATCATTATGATTTACCTTAAGTTATCTCACATTATTAATATTTATATGTCGCAACGTAAGTTTATGCTACGACCTTTAATTTCCCATAAGATTACTTTCATAGAATGAGGTATGTTATGATTTAGGTATTTTACTTGATATGTAGCAGTGTGGTCTAAGTGAAATTTGATTTTATCTCTAGCAGATCAATGGGTTATCTGTCTTGCCGATGTCAATGACGAACTAACCTCAAAGTTTTCTCACATCAAAGTTTAAAGGCAGATAGCCAATGGATCTATCACTGATTTCCTTTTTTGTTGACTTTAACTATCCCGCTCCAATCACTAACTGTAATCTGAATTAAAGTTATGGTTTGAAATTATACCACTTCTGAAGGCCGCACTAGGCTTTCGTCTACTCATATTATTTGGCTGTTGAATTTTTAATTCCGCTTTAAATACTTCCTATTCCTTAACGGAATTATATGCTTAGAAATTATTTGATGTAAATTTTATTTATTTGTCTTCATTAGTAGATAAAGTTAATATAAGGGTGATCGATGATATACTATTCAGTAATTCTAAAAGGAAGAAATCCTTCATAATTTTATTTCATGGAACTTTTTTGAACGATACATCAACTAGGTACTTAAGAACTTCGAAACGTACATCGCCTTCCTTACGTAAATAGATGAACAAACTTGCCTTGTTTCAATTTTCAAATTCGTTTGAACTATAAACGTCTGATATGTCTATTTGTGTTTTTAAAACACTTTTGTGGTTTTACCCAACATCGCATATTATGACGGCGCTTTCTGAACTATTTCCTGCAAACCGAACGTCCGTTCGTTGTACATTGCGCTTTTGCAACGCTAGGTGAACCTACTTAGCTGAACAATTTTCCCGGATACGAAAAACGGGATATTTTACTATCACACACTGTACGTTTGTGTGCCCCTCAGATAATTATTCCCGATGTAGATGTTTATTCACTAGGAACGTTGATGGCAGGTAGGTGGCTGGAAAAAGCTTAGCTTTGTGAGCACATTTTAAATAGGCCCAACCACTACATCAGGTTTGACAAACCACAGATCCTTGCAAAAGAACACCGATTCCTCCCAAGTGCTATTGAAATTAAAAAACTAATTTCAATAGAGAAGAAGGTTGGGTACTACCATCAGGTGGGATCCTGTCAAATAAAATCTAGGCCCAGAACCACTACTGCAAGACAAGATACAATTAGCTCCCTCTGCATAGATTGCTTGCGGTAGCCCTTTATGTCAGCCGTCTAACACCTCATCTTTGACCATTTTTTTCAAATATTTAAAATTAAAAATAAACGCGATAAATCCGTAAAATTAGTTTCAATCCTTACAAGAAATTATTATAAAAGCTTAGCTAATACCACCAACAACTGATTTTGCTGACGTGGGAAAAGGTCATTGCTCGAATAATTTTTTTCTTATTTCTCAATCCTTGATCTTAGAGATGGATATTCGCACATTAGCGTCTCAATCCACGTGTCGTAAACGTCACAGTAATTTCCAACTACTCTCCGGCTTGACACCTTAGAGCTATTAAAATAATGTAGACAAGAATGTAAACGCGACGAATAAGACGTTGCCATAACATTTTTTTTTATGTGAAAAGTTGCCAAACGCGCAGACGGTTCACCTGATGTTAAGTGAATACCGCCGCCCATGGACATCTGCTACGTTACAGGTGCGTTGACAACTTTTTGAAAATTGGGCTCTGGCTACCTCACTCACCAGACGAAACGCGAAAGTATTTGTCATACTTCCACTTTACGCCGATCTCCTGTGAGATCCTCCTCCTCGTACTCACCCGGACGGGCCTGCCCATTCGTACAACAGCCGCGGCTGCTGCGTGGCCCTGAACCATCATGAACAATTTCTTGTTCTTTACTCTTTTTCCTTTTTTTTTTTTTTAACTTTGCCCTTATTTTTTACTTAAATCCCCATTATCGGATATGATTATTCTACCTTCATCTTAAAAGACCGTAACATTTTTAACAAATTACTCAACCTTTACAAGGTGTAAAACAATTGCCTATCTTACATATTTTTAAGCGTCCTTCGTCTCGGGACTGTCCGCTCCACAACGGTGTGATTGGTCACACTGCGCGCCAGGAATGCGTTGCGTTAACAATCACTGACCCTCGCTTCCTATTTACGTATCCCGTCATCAAACGCAAGCTGAGTGCAAGGCGGCGCCTGTTTGCATTAATAGAAGAAAATCGGTGTTTCAAATCGAGCTGATTGCGAAAATAGAATGACGCTACAAACCATGTACGCTTTGTTCATGGTTTTTTATATTTACCTTTTAAAGAGATTACTTTAAGACTTAATTCAATTATTTTTTAAATCTCTTCTATCGTCTATCCAGCAATTGTTCAATTCATTGTTCCATATCGGATTCATTAAGTACTTTTATTAAATAGTACGTGTATGTGCACATAGACACATGACCATGTATGTGTTCATGTGTCTATGTGCGTAAGTATTATTGATGCGATATAAAATATTGGAAGAGTTATCCATACTTGGCCCGATATTAACTAAGCCCATGGAAAATGGTGAAGCGATTAAATGTTTGCCCGCTCAGGCTATTAAGTCGTTTCCTTAGGATTTCTTAAGCATTAAGTAAATATACTTAAAGAAACTCTTATTGTTATGAGGCTCTATGGACAGTTAGGTAAGTAGCGAAGTGTGATAAACCAATGGTTATAATTTCCTACCGGCATTCGACTACTGCTAATAATTGCATTTGAATGTTTTAACAAACATTCATTTTTCAAATGTTTCATTGAATATGAACGTGTCAAGAGCAGTTTTATTGCAATCCACCGTGCCACTTTTTTGGCTCTTAACTTTGCTCAACTGCGATTTGTAGTGATAAATTCGGTTATAAAGGGCAGACTCCTACGCTGCAAATATATACCAGAGACACGTCGCCCCAATGTCTGGTGGTCTCCTGTCGCCTGTCACCTGTCACTCGTCGCCCGTTACGGCCGCCCGCCGCGTGATGTCGCGACGCAATCCTGTCGCGGCGATATTTATTAAGATGCCACGGGTGCCCCCGATCTGGATAGCGAAAATAGCTCGGTGAATTAGTATTCATAAAGATTACGAGCCTTTAGCGACATATTTGCTTGTATGGTTCATTTATATTGTAGTTCAGCGTATGAACTATAAAGGCCCATTTACACGATGCCATTTTCTTGTACATACAAGAGCAATAATTGAATGCAATAAATTGCGTGCAATAATTTGTTAGACCATTTGTTGTTTAGACCATGCAACTCATTTATTGCTTCAATTTAATTGTATACAACAGGCAAGAAACTGGCACCATGTAAATGGGCCTTAAAGCGTTTGATTAGTTACATAGGTTGGGATTAGAAATGTCTAAAATTGTGTCCTGAAATATTTATTTTGTATTTAAAGTTACCATAGATATTTTTTTATTATAAACAGGCATTTGACATATAAAACCACGCCAAAGATAGGCATGACCCAATTAGGAGGTGAGATTTCATTAGGTTCATCTCAATTTTTGGTTCAACGAGATAGCAACATCCCGGGCGCTATTGGCAGGCAATTGTTCGGATGTCGACACAGCGATGACGTAGGTCCCGCCTCTAACGTGTCCGGCAAATTGAAACGTTTCGAGAAGTTTCAATTAAAAAAAAAGCGATACTGCGACCTCTGGCCTCTACTAAGATAGGCCGTGAAGCTGACGGTTATATGACTATTATCAAGAATGTTGCTTTCATACTCATTGCGAACCGATATAGGCATAATGTTGCAAAATATGTTGCAGTGAAATAGGGTCGCAAAACAGCATCTGTTGTTGCTCGAATGGGTGGTGGTGGGAAATGGTCAACTGTGCTAGGGCCACGCAACAGTTTCGGTTGTTGCACGTACGGGCAGTTCCCTCCGGGTAAGTATCACGACCTCTCAGAAGAAATATATGTGTTATATTTCTCTGTTTCATCTGGTGAGGGAGGTAACCGGGGCCACTATATAAAAAGCGGCAACGAATCTGCAACCCTACGCGATAGTAATCACTTAACATCAGGTGAACCGCCACCAGCACTGATTGTTACTTCTCAAATTAAAAAAAAAATCGTGTCCCATGAATGAGCCACGTCGCAATCCGTAGTTGGGCCACGTGGTGGACTATGCCCTAATACCGTCTATACAAACAGAGAGGACCAGTGGGCTGAGGCCTCTAAGGGCTATGTTACTCTACTTCACTTTTTTCCTCAAATGCCCGTTTGAGAGCCACCAGTCGAGCCAGTTAGCTTTATAATCGTCCTTCAATTGTCTTTTACAGTACATATTCAAAGAATCACTGTATATGGGCAGCGCATAAAAATGTTTCGTAACTCGCAACATCAATTTGCGCAACCCGTAACACAGGCCTTAGGTTAATTGGGCGATTACGAAACGTGATAAAAATATTCTCTGCAAGATTGCTACTCAAGTGAGTAATTGAATCGAGTGTTTGTTTCCTCGTGGTGTTTTTTTAAATGTACAATCATTTCATTGCAAAGTGAAATCCTAGTATTAACTTTGGTTCCATAGTTAGCATATTTATGCCCGGTTCCTATATTCAGCGAACGGCCGTTAATTACATAGTCGTAATGAAGTCGTTACAACGAGTCGTAATGAAAGTTAAGAAGTTATGTAACTAACGGCCGTTCGTTGAAAATAGGAACCGGCCATTAGACGTCTTATGTCCAATGACTGTGACCATGAATGCTAAGATTCGAGACGTTGGAAATTTAAATAAAAGACAATAAAATCAGAATATTATAGGGTTCCGTACCCAAAGGGTCAAACGAGACTTACTAGGACTCTGCCTGTCTGCCTGTAGGTCTGTCACCAGGGTGTACCTCGTGAACCGGGATAGTTAGATATTTGAAATTTTCACAGATGACGTATTTCTGGTACCGGTATAACAACAAATACTAAAAAATAGAATTAAAAAATATTTAAGGCGGCTCCCATAGACCAATCGCGAAGTGGTTGCTAGGCAACCTATAGGTACTTACCAATTAGCTTATTACAGATATATAATGGTACGGAACCCTTCACGTGCGCGAGTCCAAATCGAACTTGACCGGTTTTTAATTTTGACTTCTTTCTATTAGGAGCTCGCTTGTGCCACAAGTCGTGTCACGTTACAAGAATAACCGGTAATTAAAAATTATACAATCTAAGAGAGCATGAGGAGTGACATCTTACTCAGAATTAAGACGTATTCAAATACTGCGTCGCGTTATCTCATAACTGATTAAATTCCACGCAATCCGGAGCAGCTTTAAGCACGCTAATGTACGATTAGGTCTATCTTTGCGTGTTTTACGCAAGAACCACTTTAGCAATGTCTTTGCATTCTTGAATCAAATGCAACATTTATAAATAAATGACGCTCGCTTTTAATTTTTTACCGGTTTTTCTCTTTTTAGTCTGCGATAAGGTAAAACAAGGAAAAAAAATTTGAATATTAATGTCTGTGTTGAAAGAAAAAATATTTTTGTATTCTTCCGTCAATGCTTTAGTAAACAATTTTCAAAAGTACTATAAATAAAGGTAACGATTTAGTGCCATTATAGTGCCGTATAATTTTACAAGCACCCAGACTTTCTGTAGAGACTGCTCGTGAATCGTGGATCACATTGCGAATACAGCTAGAGTCTAAACATATGTAGGCAAAGAATCCACACATGCGTGACTATATCATTTAAGTTTGAATTACAACATCGTATTATATCGGAACAACAACCGTGTAATTAGTGTCTACGTTTAAACGTACAAATGTAAAAAATAACACAGTGATACCATGATTTACTATTTGAGCTTTATATTTAGATTACAGAAAAAAGTCAAAGCTAATATACGTACGTTACATTGTAAAGTTGTATTTCGTTTTAATTTGATGTTTCAAAAAGTTCAAGGATATTGTGATAACTATTGATTATGTCATTAATAATGCATCATCATTTTAAACTGTGGTTTGACTTAAGGTTAAGGATAGATCAATAGGTGGCAACGCATCTGCAACCCTAAGGGTGTTGCAAATGTCAATGGGCGGCTGCTATCACTTAACATCAGGTGAAATCAATATTTCCATAATGATTTCTTGTGTTTGGATGAACTATATATGAACTACTATGAACTAGATGTATGAATAAAAACAAATAGTACTAATTGACTTTATCTAAACAAAAATTGCTATGGACATCTTGAAGTCCTACAGTTATTATGTGCTTGGGTATAATTTATCTTTTCTATGACAAAATCGATGGTCTTTTTATTTTAATAGCCTCACAAATTATCCTTGACAGAAATCAACGTAGGTAATTGAAGAAAAATAGAAATTGGAACGGTTTTAAGAAATAGAAACTTATCTTTCGACGTTCGCCTCGGGGTTATTATACAGCGTGTTGTGACCACCGCGACAATAAATGACACACATATAGAGGATAAATTTTTAAAATCGTATTAAACATTTACATTCTTCAAACATCAATATTTACAGAGTTATTAAATTTCCAAAACAATTTTAGAACACCCTTACGTATAAAACTGTAACGTAAAGTTCATTTGTAAAGGTCACAAAGCATATGCTTCAACCCATTCATATGAATGGGTTGAATGAATTTAAAAGAGACAAAACATACTGTTAGAATGAGAGGCGCTGTGGCGCGAGATGTATAGGATGTTACAAATTTTGTTTCCTTTTTACTTAATTAGTTTGTTTGAAAAATATTTTTTTTGATTATGGATTTTGTTTATCGTTAATATTTTTTTATGATTATTGGCAACTTGTAGCGTTAGACGTGAGTTCATTTATTGTCGCGATGGTAACGACACGGTGTATATTCTACGTTTACCTAGGACAGTTAGTCTGGCTAGGTAAGTCCAACTTCGACGCAGAGGTCAATCGGCGAATCCAACTCGGATGGGCAGCGTTCGGGAAACTGCGGCAAATCTTCTCGTCGAATATACCTCAATGTTTGAAGACTAAAGTCTTCAATCAATGTGTGTTGCCAGTGATGACCTACGGAACCGAGACGTGGTCCTTCACTGCTGGCCGTATGAGGAAGCTCAAAGTCGCTCAGCGAGCTATGGAGCGAGCTATGCTCGGTATTTCTCTGCGTGATAGAGTTCGTAACGAAGACATCCGCAGTAGAACTAAGATAACCGACATAGCTCAGAGGATTAGCAAGCTGAAGTGGCGATGGGCCGGCCATATAGCTCGTAGAACCGATAACCGTTGGGGAGGAAAGGTTCTCGAGTGGCAGCCTCGTACTGGCCATCGCAGTGTGGGACGACCCCCCACTAGATGGAGTGACGACCTGTGCAAATGTGCGGGAAGTCGATGGATGCAGGTGGCTCAGGATCGTACTTCGTGGCAGTCTATGGGGGAGGCCTATGTTCAGCAGTGGACTCAAACAGGCTGAAATGATGATGATGTATATTCTATGGCTATCATGCAGTGTGGCAAATATGTTGTTTTTGGGGCGTAGCACTTGAAGGCGTTTCCTCTGAACGGGTGTTAATATGAATTGCAAACATTTGTTTCGGGTGTTTAGTGATAATTTATAGTCAACAATCAGAACTTAAAATCAGCAATTAATCCTGACTAGTGGTCGCTCAGTGTTCGAAATTCGACCATAATTAAATTATGTATGGTAGTGTAATTATTTCTATGCATAATTTTATAAAAATATTAGCATCCTTCTCTATGTAAACTATGTGAGTGGGCTATTCCGTACTCATCCTTCCGCGCAATTTTCGTAAAAAGGGGTACAAAGTTTTGCTTCACGTATTAATATATAGATAACTAGCTTTTCGTCCGCGGATTCGCTCGCGTTGTAGCCCTTAAATAAATATCTAATAAATAAATACCTTTCAACCCTTTACAACACTTTTATCCAATTAAAAATATGCCTATGTCCTTTCTCGGGCTCTAGACTATCTGTGTACCAAATTTCATTCAATTCGATTCAGTAGTTTTGGCGTGAAAGCGAGACAGACTACTTACTTTCGCATTTGTAATATTAGTATGGATAGTTTTTCATTGATTTTAATCAATTATGTCACAATTAAACATTGTGATTATGAGAAACTTTAATTGGGCGTCAATGGCCGATTTCGCTCCGCTTTGCATTTGACAAACTAGTGTCGTCCCGCGACTTGTAGCGACCACCCGGCCTCCGAGGCCCACTATCGGAGCAGCAATCTCTGCTCGTAGATGTGCCGGGAACTTAATTAGTGTAAGACCGTAACTGCCTCGTGAGCCTTAACACTGCGCTTCTGTTCAAAAACATCGATAAAACTATCAACAACTTAAGCAAAATTGACTATTTATTAATTAATAAAAGGTGGCAAAATAAATAAGCTAGTTGTAAATAGTGATCTACCAAATTCAATTTTTTATCCAAAGAAATGCAACCTTTACCTCCAGGTACTGCATAAGAGTGATGAGAGAAAAAACTGCTTAAATTTCGTATTCATGGCGAGATATTAGATGGGTTTCCCTGGTATCTGAGTTATAACCTATCCCTTCTCGATATTACATTAGTTTATGGGGTTTGTCACTCATTATAATTTTGTGTCCATTATAAAATAATACGAACAATTGCGTTTGACTACCTTTATTGTACTCATATATTATTGGTAATAATAAATACATGTAATTAAATAAAAAAATTAGCGGAACGGTAAAGTAATCTACTAACAAAGATCCTTTTCATGTTTAATTATTTTTTTCTTTTATAGCTTTTCAAGCACCTAGCTATCTTAAATATTAAGATGCAGATCGTACGAGTACCTAAGTCTTTATGAGTAAAGGACCATTTAAGAGTTTCACGTCCTATTGGATTTTGCTATTTGCGTAAAATTTAAAAATCACTATTTTTAAATTTTATTCTAATCCAATCGGAACAATTTGACTCAGATTCCCTTCAAGCTCGATCCTTCATTCACCCCTACGCTCTAGATTAATCGGTAGCGTCGACGGTCGCGTCGCACTGACGGGTTAACGGTCAACGGCCGTCGAATCGCGAACCGCGAACCGCGATATTCGTCGATGGCTCGCGCGGGAACGAGTTTGGCACCCAATATAGGGAGGCCGTGAAAAAGCGCGGTTTTAAAGTTCCGCCGCGAACCCAGAGCCGCGAGGAGCGGGCCGCTGCCAGTCGCCGCGGACGTGCCGACGGGGACGCACGCCTCCGCTACCTGGCCACGCGACCAGCCCGTCGCGATGTGCGCACGAGCCTGACGTCCCATCCACAACACGGAGAGGCTCCGTAGTATCGGACGTTTGCAGCGCGTGGTGTTATGTGGTCGCGCTTAGGCCGGACTGCGATGCGCTAGGCGCGTGACGATGAATTGGCTGGTGCTGGTGACTGTGGCGGCGGTGGCGGCGGCGGTGGAGGCAGCCGGGCCGCGCCGCTGCGCCGGCCGCCTGGCGAGGGAGCGGCTCAAGGCGGCCGAGAAGATCCGCGACAAGAGGTTCTACCTCTTCTGCTGCACGGCCAGCTGTGCGACGCAGCCGCTGCGCAGGCCTCGGCCCCCGCCGACCACCAGGCGCTACCAGCCGTACCACAAAACGTGGTTCGGTCTCAAATACGGTACGCCCCTATCGGTCTAAATCGGTCAATAAACTTGGAATTGTGGTAGGGACACGCGACAGTCTTCGCACTGTTGCACGAATGGGCAGGTCCGGCTGGGGGAGTATCACGCACTTCTGAGTTTCGTCTGGTGAGTGAGGTAACCGTAGCCCACTTTATTAAAAGTTGGCAACGCATTTGCAACCCTGGGTGTTGTCAGGTATATCGCCAGATCGCTGGACAAATTTCCACATAAAATTCTTCCACATTATTTAAATCTCATTCAAAAGAGGATTCAATTATACAGTCTTATCTAAGTAATTTGCATCACTTAAACCAGAAACGGCTTGCATCGCTTAGACGCGCCCGCAAAAGATGAATCAACGAAATATTCCCATCCGAGTATTTTCAATGTAGCAGCGCCTAATAGGCAATTAATACATAAACGCAAATCGTAACTCGTAGGCACCTCTAGCTTGTCTATCGATAATTAAATTTACGGCTGCTTTCTCCTCGGCTACTCGCGTTGGGCGATTTAGCGTCCAAGCCAATGTGTCTAGCTGCGTCAATTATACGCGCTAAATAATCGGTCTATGGTGAACAGAACTTTAAAATGGTCGATAATATCCCAAACGAGAAACTAGTCTAATACAAAAAATACTAACACCGAGCATAATCGTAATCTTGAAACTTTAACGCGGCGACTGACCTCGCAGATTTTTTGTAAACACGTCCAATTGTTTTGGCTACTTTACATCGGTATGGTTGAGAGATCCTTGTGGAATAGATTTGTTCTGTATTATTATTTCTTTTAAAAGTAACTTTCATGCTTGGCTTACAATTTAGTACCTTTTTCTCATCTATTTGTAAACAAATTTTCTTTATTTTTAGTTTTATGGCTGTTGAGCTAAGGAGTTATCGATAAAATTTAAAGTAATTTTTTGTTGAATGTCATAAACGTTATGGCCTATTTTGGCCCAGTGAACATTGCGAGCACTAGTTATGTTTTTACAATATCTATTTATATTATTGATAGGTTAAGCCAAAAAGTACGCTAAGCGAAAATTGCGCGGACGAAGGAGTATGAAATTTCTCACTTATAGTTTATGTAGAGAAGGAGTGCAGAATGCACAGTTTTGCAGGCTCGTCCGGGTAAGGACCCACGACCTCACAGAAGACCGGCGTAAAGTGGAAGTGTTATACTTCCGCGTTTCATCTGTTGAGTGAGGTAGCTGGGGCCCACTTTATTAAAAGGTGGCAACGCATCTGCAATCCTACGGGTGTTGCAAATCCCCTTCTGTCTCCATCTGAGACTATAAGTACTAAAGAAATATGTCAATGATATGATTTTTCAAAGTCAAACTTTCGATGTAACAATTTCGTGAAAAAATTTAGGTACTCATCTGGATACAGAATGAGCGCCTAATACAGAAGGTAGCAGAACAGTACAACAGTTGCCCAGCCGTTGTTTGTCTCAATAAAGAGATAATGATATTGCGAGAGGAGGCGTAAGATATTCCATAGCGCATTCGTCTACGCAATTTTCGTATGCATTTGAATACAATAGCAGTATCAAACGTGAACATTTCCTCGCTCCTCTGGAGAAAATACACAATTCATCGCTGAGGCCTCAACCGAAATTTTATCCGTGCAAATTTATATCGTGCCTATATTTCTTGATACTCCCAACGTCAATAGATTAACGGTCAAGCCTGTAATGAAGTTGCGTGGGCAGGAATAACGATTTGGCGTTTCGTTACGAACACGACAATTCGTCGCCACTTTCACGGCTGCGTAGTACAAATATAATATTTATTTCTAACATGTGAAAAGCTACAAAGTTATCTTTTAGTTTTTAACCAGCTTATAAGGTTTCAACGTGGTTTATAGACTTGTCGCCGAACACAAATATGTTTTGTTACTAGAAAAGAGCAAGCTTGGTGGTTGACCTTATGTTAAGATTTTACCTTTTTTATGTGAAAACTTGTCAATCGAGCTGGCGGTTCCCGTTGTAAAGTGACAACCACTGCCTATGGACATTTACAACACCTGGAGTTGCAGATGCGTTGCCAACCTTTGAAAAAGTGAACCCCGGTTACCTTTACCGCCAGACGAAACGAAAAAAAAATAACACACTCACTTCGCGCCGGTATTCGGTGAGTCTTGGTACTTTTCCACATCAGCTTGCCCATTCGCGCAACAAAAGCTGCTGCATGGTCCTATCACAGAAGTCTCCGCCCATGGGCGTCTAAGACATATTTTGGGTTGTAAATAAGTTGCAAAACAACTGTGTTGCCACTTATTAAAACGAAGAAATTTAATACGCTGGGTTCTGTGTGGCCATGGTACTTCGCCAGACGGGCCTGTTCATTCGTGCAGCATAAAAATCCGATGCGTGGCCTTAGCCCTATTAGAAAAGTTTATGTCTACACATAAAAAATTCCTGCTATTGGGATTGTACGAGACGAAGGAGTGGATGATAGTAATGTCCGTTTAAAGTAAACGAACAAAACTATGGTAGGGCCATGCAACAGTCTTCGTTGTTGCACGAATTGGCAAGTCCGTCCGGGAAAGTACCACGACCACACAGAAGACCAGCGTGAAGTAGCAGTGGTTATGCTTTTCGTCCGGTTAGTGAGTTAATCGAAGTCCACTTTATTAAAAAGATGGTAAAGCATCTGAAACCCTACGGGTGTTGCCAATGCGGCTATTGTTTAAAAGCAGGTGAATCGCAAGCTCACTCGACACATTCTCACATTAATAAAAACCGGCCAAGTGCGAGTCGGACTCGCGCACGAAGGGTTCCGTACCCATCTATAAAAATGACAAAAAATCATGTCTGTTGTATGGGAGCCCCACTTATAATTTTTTTTTCTGTTTTTTAGTATTTATTGTTATAGTGGCAACAAAAATACATCATCTGTGAAAGTTCATGAGATCCAGCCTGGTGACAGACCAACAGACAGGCAGCGAAGTCCTACTAATAGGGTCCCGTTTTACCCTTTGGGTACAGAACCCGAAAATCACGGGCAATTTAACCAGTACAACAATTTCGCTTCGTTTGAACCGTATTAATTTCGGAGTGTAACAAATTTTGGAAGCCCGCGGACTTCCGCCAAGTGGTCACGCGCGGATTGGCTCATTTAATGTGAATCGAAAACGAATCTCATCGCTTTAAGTGCGGCCGAAATCCAGATCGCGACCTTTGCATCGGGGCCTCTGTGACCGCCGCGGGCAACTAGTGACGTTCTTCACTGGTCTTGCTTCGCACCCTGATTCTCAATAAAATAAAATTAGTTAAAATAAAATGTAAAAAAACTTAAATAACTTATTGTATTTAAGCGAATAACACACATTGTTGGAGAAATCTATTTTATATAACTATTTTTTATGATTCTAGAATGTGCGTATTTACATACCTATAATTTGTATTTATTTACAAACGCTTAGAAAACGCTGTATAAAATAATATCCCGAAAGATTATCTAAATTATTATTGGAATCGATACTAATATAATTTTATAATGGCCGCCAATTTTTCCCTTCGCTTTTAAATTAAGCTTTGATTTTTGTTAATTTTATTTTAGGTGTGGATTATAATAATTAGATTATAAACACCAGAAATAATGGAATTAATGTTTCCTAACGACGGAAAGATCAGACAACACATCACTGGCCGTCCCCAGGCTATCTAGAGGCGCTGGGGTCGACGACCTCTCGCGTCTCTCGAGCTGCCAAAAGCGCCATTCATGATTCTGATAAACCCTCGCTTCCTTCCCATTCGGGTTATTGGAGCGGATTTGCAGATAAAGCGTTGACGCCCGTTCGGCTAGGCGCGATTGCGTTCCTAGAAACGATGTTCCGCGCGGCGGGGTACGGACGGTCTGTCTCATTTCATATCGTCCCGCACGCGGACGACGTCAAATGCTAAAGTAGTAGTTATTTAGACGAATAAAGTCGTTTATTTCATTTGCTACCTCCCCAAAACCTCCTCAAAGCACGTTTAGAACTTTTTCTCTCGTTTCATTTGTACATGATTACTATAGTAGAGTAAGGTCGCCTAGCGTTGTAGGTCATTATTGTTAAGTTATCACTTGTTATAAGTATCGCTGTATCTTTGTATTCCCGTGTCTCGATACGCCGGGCATTTGATTATGCTGAAAATATATTTAAAATACACGTGAAAATCCGTTAAAATTTTTGCTTTGTCCGTTTAGCAAAGAAACTAATATTTTGCATAGTATACTCCATTTTTTCATGCTATGTTATTATTTAAACATATACCCAGCCACGCTATAAGAAATCGTGTTTCTGGGATTAATATGGAATAGTATAGAAGATATATATAGGGATATACATCAATGATGTTAACTAATATAGATGACGCATGTCCGTACTGTGCGGCTCTTAAAAATTGTTCCGCTTTACATTATATAAAATATACCAGTGAATGTGGCAGATGATATAGAACGTATGATACGGAAAGAGATAGCAGTCTATAGAATTACAATCTAATTACACCGATTGGCGGAATTTGAGCGCCTCAGTTTCGGTGCACTAGTGTCATTAGCTAGTAGATAGAAACACACTGAAACAAACACAAACACATCACAATATACAAATGCATAATGTATATTTTTTTTATGTGAAATGTTGCCAAACGAGCAGACGGTTCACCTGATGATAAGTGAATACCACCGCCCATGGACATTGGGACCTTTTTGGAAATTGGGCCAAATCTCTTCTTCTCAATAAACCCTTGTAACTTCTTAGTACGTGAATTCAGCAACGTAACATATTAAACTTTCAACCTGTATACAGCCTATAGATAGCAGAGAGAGCTTGCTTTAATTAGCGTGCATCTCCATTGAACATATATTAATAAAAATGTTTCATTTCAATGCTCCCATTGATCGTCTGTCAAGGACAATCCGTTCGCAAATCTAAAATCAAAGGCGTTCGGTGAGCGGTGGATGACCGACGCCTATCATACGATTGGGCTGTGATATCATCAACAGAAATAGACGAAACTCTGATAAAGGCCATGCCACACCAGTCTATCAGAGGCGCGCGTGTTAATGAGAAAAATACAACTTAATCTAATAAAATTATATTTTGCGTAAGAATTTCTGTCCATCGAATTATAAAAAAAAAATTTTATAATAACAGGAAAATGTTTTGATTGATGTCAAAAAGTACTTAATATATTAATAAATAATAAATATTAATATTAATTATTTAAAGTATTTTCCGTTTTTTAGTTATTATCTCAATGCAAATAAGTTCAAGAAAACAATATGCAAATAAGTTGTGATGATCACACCTTTAAACTTTACACTTTTTTACTTAACTTTAAACATCTTCTCTCATTAATTTTAGAGCTAGGTTCTTGTCGGTGCAGCATCCAAGTACCTAAATTACCTTTAAACATCACAAGCAAAAAAGTAGCGGATTTTCAACAATCACGACCCGCACAAGTTGTCTAACTTAATATACAATTAATTAGTTTTTTTTTTATGTGAAAAGTTGCCAAACGAGCATAGGGTTCACCTGATGGTAAGTGAATACCGCCGCCCATGGACATCTGCTACACCGAAGGGTTACATATGCGTTGACAACTTTTTGAAAATTGGCCTCCGGCTACCTCACTCACCAGACGAAAAAGTCCCCTCTCAGACCTCAGTCGTTCAGAAACATCGAAAGCTCAACAAATACAGCAGTGATATCACGAAATCGCTATGCCGGTCTGTGTCTGTATGTGCTCTTAGATCGTCTAAACGGACACTCGCAATAAACCAAAGGCCGTACTGGGTGATATCCACAGTTCGCTGGCTTAACGCTTATTTTGGTGAGTAATTAGCGGTGTATTATTCCCAGCGGCGCTCATTTGACGGTCAGTAAAAAATGTTCCGCTCTTTGACTGGCTAACGTGATCGCTTTGTAGCAGAAGCCTCACAATTATTGTATGAAAGTATTATTTATATTTAGCATGTACATTCTAGAAAGAACTCAGTGCGTATTCTTTGTGCTTTTAAGAACCAATTATCAATATTTCAACCGTTCTTGCCATGTTATTTATAAAAATATACCTGTACTATTCTCTAACGCCCGGTTTCTGTCACTTTTTCTGTGATCATCGTAGAAATTAGTTGTCAAATGGCTTGTCAAATGTCATTTGAGTTTTCAAAAGGATGGTTAAACTCTAAGAATTGATTAGAAAATTAGTTAGTGTTTTACCCACCTAATCTGGAGGAAAATCGTTTCGGTACTAACTTCATTTTGGAATTAGTAGTAGATACGGCGTCTTCAACGCAAGTAAACTTTTATCAGTTTGGCCAGATTGTCGAAGTGGATAGTGACTCTGTCTCTTGCGCCTGAGGGTGTGGGTTCGATTCTCACTACTGGAAAAATATTGTATCATGAAAATTGTTTTTCTTGTGTCTGTAAAAAGTATGTTAAAGTATGTTTAGTTACATATTAGTTTAGTACAAGCTATGGTTAGTTTGCTAAAGTTGCTTAAAAATTGGCCACAAATCTTTACTTATTTTTTTAGTAAATTGACTTGTAGCTCTGGCTAGTGAGTCCACTAAGTACATGTCTTAGAGAAGCAAAAAAGAGAGGAAGTTGGTGAACACATCTACCCCGTACAACTACTTTGTGGAACGAGTTGACGCCAGCGGTATTTCCGGACCGATACCACTTAGGGGCCTTCAAGTAGTGAGCCTACTCCTACCTTAAAGGCTTGCAACGCAATTGCGATTCAACCGATGTTGCAAAGGTCCATGGGCGGCGGTGGTCACTTATCATCAGGTGACCCGCATGCTCGATTGCCTCCTTTTCCCATAAAAAAAATCACGAGACGTGTTGTGTGAGATCAGTTCACGTAGGAACTTAAAAAATAAAAACAAAAACCTACGAATGGGCAAGACTGTCCGGCGAAGTACCTTGACCTCACAGAAAACCGGCGTGAAATGGAAGTGTCACACTTCTGCGTCTCGACCGGTGAGTGAGGTAGCCGGGGCCCACTTTATTATGAGAATCAACATCTGCAACCCATTACCTTATAACTAACTATCCCCAGGTGTTGCAAATATCAATGGGCGACGTTTAACACTTAACGTCAGATGAATCACCAGCTCGCATGCCACCTTCTCACATGAAAAAAAATCGAACTCAAAAACTCAACTAAGACCGGTGCCGCAATTACAACGCGGCCTCTAGTTCAGCAATCAGACTAAACGAATCAATATTATCTAGATTATAATCGATACTCTCCGGTCATAAAATCCCGATGGCTGCACGCGTAATTTCGCACCAGAGCGTGCCCATATCCGGTGGTTGGCCGACACAAAGGGCGTTATATGAACGCTAATAAAAGATAAACATTTCAGTCTCCAATACGCCGGCCATAAACGTCGCGGAGAGCTACGCTTAAAGCGAGTCTGTTTAGCGAATGTATTTACGCTAGTACCGAGATCTATCGACACGAAATCATCGGCCTTAATGTGGTTGTGGTAATCGAGTGCGGTTAACGATCGACTGGCGGAAGGGTCTGGTGGTTGAAGCCAGCTCTGGAATCAAAGCGGACGCAGTAAAAAATAAGGGGCTTTGTAACAGATAAGATGGCGAACTACCAGGCGAATCACCTGATGTCAAGTCTAACATATATATCTATAAGTGCCGTCTGTTCGCAATTTCATTTTTGATCTTTTTCCTTGGGTTAAGGCCACGCAGCAGGTTTTACAGTTGCACGCATGGACTCGTCCAGGGAAGTAAGAAAACTAGAGGACTGGAGTGAGGTGGAATTTTTCTACTTTTGCTTTACGTCACTACTTGAGTAAGGTAATCGAAACCTAATAGTTTAAAAGTTGGTAGCGTCTGCCACTCCAGTTAAGTGCTAATCGCTTGCCAACGTCTTACATAACAAATGAACCTTAAAGAGGATGAGTTCTGGCTACATCACTTAACAGAATACAGCAGTATAAATACTTCTAGTTTCACCAACTATGTCGTTCTTATTTTTGCACCATCAGCACCAGCTGTCTTAGAGAAAGCGTATCTATCTACGCGTATATGAAATGCTTTTGAAAGTCTTACAAATTAATTACATACATGGATGCTCTATTTGGGCACGAGTACAATGTCAAATATTTTAACATGCGATGTGAGATATAGGCGGTTGTATTATAAGTAGAGAGACAACGCGTTGTAGTATTTTAGAAACAGTTGATATTATTAAAACATGTAGAAAAAGTACGAAAAGATGGTCGCCGCCGTGGGAATCGAACCCACGTCTTCGGCATTCGCGGCCTGACGCTCTAGCCCCTGAGCTAAACGGCTGATAGCCACAGCGACGAAAATCTTAACGCCTTTTTTCTACATTTTTATTTGGCATTTGAAGCAATGCTTGGCGCATCTATGGTTATATCCTTTCCAGCATACAAACAATTTCGAATATCGTTTAACAACGATAATTCGAACGAGAGATGTCGCCATTGCTGTTATAAATTTTAAAGTTTTTTATAGTGCTAATCTCTGCACTTAAGATTGAACATTAAAACATGTAGAAAAAGTAAATAATCATTAAAAAGTTGATATTAATCAACTTTTTAATGATATCCTGATTTTTTTTTCATATATACTTAAGAATAATATGAAACGGTACTTCATTCTTAGAATAATTAAATAAAAATATATTAAATCGTTGTAGACGATATTATAAATTACGTTTAACCTGTACCTATCTATTTGAATAATTCAAAAACGATGGTACAGTGTAAAAATTAAAAATACGAGTACCAATCGAATAAAAAAAAAATAAAAGCTAAGCTATTTTTTTCCACTTAATAATAAAATCGTATTTGAGACTTAATTCACAATGTAATAAGTAAGTAACTATGTTATAAATAACTAGAGTCATTATTTTAA